GAAGATGCATAGATCGCTGGCGCTAGTGGTGACCTGGTGAGTCCTCCTACTTTCTCGTCGTCGGTGAGCTGACTTTGTGATTAAAAGATGTGCTATACAAACAAGTCTGCGGCGCTCGAAATGTTTTCCGTCTGGAACAGCTCTGGGCAGCTCTGGAAGGCGAAACACACGTCACAGGGTCATCCAAAATTCCAGATCTAGTATACGCGAAATTCGAATGCCCCTCTTTCTCGGAAAAAACGACCGTAGTGACTAGTCGACTTGATATGACGTCTTTCTAACTCCACTCAAAGCGCTTGTCTCTTCCCCAGCAACTACGATTGCCAAGAACTATCGTTGGGACTAGGCATGACATCCGTGCTTGATACCACTGCCATCGGAAAGGTTCAACGCCGCCGAAGACATGTCAGGACACTTACTGGTATGTTCAATTCGTCTGGTGTCTCCTCAGTAATATTTGATAGACTTCAAACACACAGGATACTTGCCAGAGAAGGACGACGAAGGCAAGGAAAAGTGGCCTAGAGGTGAAGAGAAAGTCTGGAAAGATGGGTTGAGAAGCCTTGATACAGGTAAGCTAATCAGAACACCCAGTTCATGCGTCGCGCAATCGACTCACCTCCCACAGGCGTGCCATCCATCACCAAATCGATCGTCAACCATATCCAAACGTCTCTGGCTCGCCAGCCGCACGAGATCGACAACTTGGGAGCTTACCAGGCTGCAGCTTTCTCCGTCCGTGATAACCTGATCGTATGGCTCCCTTATCTCATATCACTCCACTCACACAACTTATCGCCGATGCACAGATCAACTGGAACGAAACACAACTACACTACTCTCGCACCGCAGGAAAGCGAGCGTACTACTTATCGCTCGAATTTCTCATGGGTCGTGCGCTCGACAATGCCCTCCTCAATCTAGGCCTCAAGCAGCAATACACGGAGGGGGTTGACAAGCTCGGCTTTAACATGGAAGATCTCCTAGCGCAGGAGCGTGACGCCGGGCTCGGCAACGGTGGCCTCGGTCGTCTCGCCGCGTGCTATCTCGACTCTTCCGCGTCCCAGGAACTCCCAGTGTGGGGCTACGGCCTGCGCTACAGGTATGGCATCTTCCAGCAGCTCATCTCGCCCGACGGACAGCAGCTGGAAGCGCCGGATCCCTGGCTGGAGAATTCTAACCCATGGGAGCTCCCTCGCATTGATGTTAGCTACGAAGTGCGGTTTCACGGCGTTGCAGAGCGCTTGAACGACGGAAGCGGCCGCGCAATTTGGGAGGGCGGTCAAGAGGTTCTTGCAGTCGCTTATGATGTGCCCATCCCTGGTTGTAACACGCGCAACACGAATAATCTTCGTTTGTGGGAAAGTAAGCCCAAGAGGGGCTTTGATCTAAACAGTTTCAATGGTGTGTTCGTAGCGACCTGGGTCTTCTACTTGACTGATAGATTTTGACTGTAGCGGGCGATTATGAACGTGCTGTCGAGTCTTCGAATAGTGCAGCGGCGATCACATCTGTATTGTATCCCAACGACCACACTACTTGTGAGTACCCCAAACAATATGAGACATTGTTCACTGAAGAGGCCTATTTCAAGTCGGAAAGGAACTTCGTTTGAAGCAGCAGTACTTCTGGACTGCAGCCAGTCTTGCAGACATCATGCGCCGGTTCAAGAACATGGGAAAGCCCATCACAGAGTTTCCCCAATGTACGTGAACCTGGTTTATCCTCAATTCTAAAAGCTCACGTTCCTTCTAGATGTCTCGATCCAGTTGAACGACGTAAGCCAGTATATGCGCGTGCACGTACCCAAGGCTAACTTTACTGAAGACGCACCCAACACTTGCTGTCCCCGAGCTTATGCGACTCCTTGTCGATGAAGAAGATGTTCCATGGAATGCTGCTTGGACCATCGTCACAGAGACTTTCTTCTTCACCAATCATACTGTCCTCCCGGTAAGTCGAGATAATACCATTTTTTGTGATATGGCGTTTACATTGATGATAGGAAGCGCTTGAGACTTGGCCTGTACCCCTGATGCAGCACCTCTTGCCCAGGTGAGCTTCACATATTGCAACGATGCAGTAACGTTAAATTGTCATCTTTAGGCACATGCAGATCATCTTCGATATCGTGAGTCTTGTGTTATATGACTGAACCTCTTCACTGAATCACGTTGGATTTGCAGAATCTGTCAGTAACTAAAATATCTGTCTTCTAATCTGACCTAAATATCGGACCGTAGATTGTTCTTGCAGTGTAAGAAAGACAAATTTCATATCATATCGAGCATCTAACTGATCTTTGCAACAAGCTGTCGAGCGGAAGTTCCCAGAAGACAGGGAGCGGCTTGCACGAATGTCAATAATCGAAGGTATTGTGATGCTGCACCCAAAGAATCACGACTTAAAGGTTTCCTCAGAGAGCGTTCCTCAGAACGTCCGCATGGCTCACCTAGCATGTATTGGTAAGTTTCGCAGTGCTCATTTCATATTTTTACTAATGTGTGTATGTAGGCAGTCGCAAAGTCAACGGCGTGGCCGAGGTAAGTCTTCACTGAGTACTCATCATTCATCTGAATATTTAGCGTCATCATTCCCACAGCTGCATAGCGAACTGGTTCAGACGACTATCTTGAAGGATTTCGTAGATTTTTATGGAGTTAGCAAGTATGTCCGTTCCGCAACTGAACTATTAAAACGCATGCTGACTCTGGTTTGTGCGTAAGGTTTGGAAACGTCACTAACGGCAGTGAGTACAGCACTCTCAATGCGTTTCTGCTTCTCATCATCTTGTTAAGTCACTCCTCGTCGGTGGCTGGACCAGGTATGTGGCTATCTTGAAATGGGCGTGGCATCGCTAAGACACTCCCACCAGTGCAACCCTGGGCTCAGCAAGCTCATCACCCTGACCCTGGACATTGAGAAGAGCGTGTGGCTCAAGGACCTCACCAAACTCGAGGGTCTTCTCGAATGTGTTGAGGACGAGGACTTCAGGGAAGACTGGGCAGCTGTAAAGCAAGCTAACAAGGAGAGGCTTGCTCACCACATGCAGGTTACTCTAGGTCTTCAAGTCAACACGAAAGCCATGTTCGACGTCCAAATCAAGGTCAGTCTGACATACTCACTATATTGCGGGGCTTGAGGGCTGATCATTGTTTCAGCGGTTGCACGAGTACAAGGTACGTGGACAGGTAATGCGTGCCATCGATCTGTGATATACCAATACATTTTAGCGCCAAACTCTCAATATACTTGGCGTCATTCATGTGAGCACCATCGATGGCACAACTGTTGGCTATTTTCACTCACCTTTTTCTAGCGCTATCTTATTCTGAAATCCATGACTCCTGAGGAGAGGAAGACAGTGACCCCACGCAATGTCTTCTTCGCAGGCAAAGCCGCTCCAGGGTGTAAGTGTTTGCACTTTTGTCAATAATTATATCGAGCTCATCGAGATTTAGATTATATTGCCAAGCTGGTTCGTTCGATGAGCGAGACACATAATCTGGTGATGCTGACAAGCTTGTAGACCATCCGCTTGATCGTCAATGTCGCTCGCGTGGTCAATTCTGATCCCGACACAAAGGATTACTTGAACGTCTTCTTCTTACCAGACTATTCAGTCACCTTGGCCGAAGTCCTTATCCCAGCTTCAGACATCAGTCAGCACATCTCCACTGCAGGTACAGAGGCTTCTGGTACGTCCAACATGAAGTTCTGCTTGAATGGCGGGCTTTTGCTGGGCACTGTTGGTACGAATTTTCAAGGTTTTTTTAGTACTATAAAGATCTGACTATTCGGATAGACGGTGCGAACATTGAGATCGCGGAGGAAGTTGGCCCTAGCAATGTCTGTGCGTAGGAGTCATATGATCATGCATGCGTCACAGACTTACTATTTTCTCGTTGCAGTCTTCTTCGGTCATCTGACACCCGCAGTGGAGAATCTTCGTTACCAACACGTGTACCACCCCGTTCCTGTCGAGCAGAAGTCGCCTGCCCTTGCACGAGTCCTTGATGAGATCTCCTCTGGGTTGTTTGGTGACAGGGGCGTGTATGAGCCGTAAGTAATGCTACAGCAAACAGTATCATGAGGTTCACTTATTTGTTTGACAACAGCCTGCTCAACACGATTCGTCAGGGAGACTACTATCTCATTACTGAAGATTTTGACTCCTGTAAGCATCTTGCTGTGTAGGGATACCGGTCCCTGATGAACCATTTTCAGACATCGAGGCTCTTCGTATGGTGGACGAAGCCTATAATGACCGAACAGAGTGGATTAAGAAGAGTATCAGGACCACTGCAAAGGTATGGATTTTAATTTTCAATAAGAAATGTAACAAGGGCGAACGCCAAATAATCCACAATTTGGAACAGATGGGCAAATTCAGCTCTGACCGTGCGATCCAAGATTACGCGCAGGAGTACTGGAACATTGAAAGCACTAAGGTCAAGTAAGCAATCGAGAAAGGCATATGAGATATAAAGGAAAAAAATAGTGGGGCCATGTGTGGGCGGGCTGACGATCCAAATGATAGTTGTATGATAAAGTGGACAATGCGATATCTGGAATCCTGCGTATGACAGTAAAGATGGATTAGTTGGGGCTAGCGAAGGAGGTATGGGTGCAGGTGGGGGCTGGTAAATGACAAAGGACAGTAGGAGGTTTCGCGGCCAATGATCAAACATGAAATGATAAATAAATAAAACCAAGAACCAAGAAGGTAAACACGATGAATCCTCAACAATGTCCTCAATTTGATGGATGTTCCTCTGTAACGTCCACACCATCATGCGCACCGGCAGATGATGGCGGTTCAATGGATGCTGCACCATTGGTGTATTCAGCGGGCTTTGACTCGGCAGCGGGTTCAACGGGGAGTTCTTCCGAAATTTCGGGCTGAGCAGCCTCTTCAGGAGCAGCCTCGTCAGCGGGTACCTCGGAGGGTGTTTCCTCAACAACAGGGGTCTGTTCTTCCGGCGCGACAGTTGGCTCAGGTAAAACATCTACTACGGGGACCGCAGGGAGAGTATCATCCGATGCCGGAGTTCCGGGGGTTTCAACAACAGGCTCCTCGACATCCTGTGTAAGCTCAGGCGCTGTGGGCACAACCTCTGGTTCTTCGACAGGAGCTGCAGGTGGGGGTAACAGATTCCTCAACGAGTGTAGCCTCAGACTCTGGAACAGATTCATCGGGGATGGCAGCGGACTCGTTATTCTCAAGGGTCTCCCCATCGAGAACGTCGTTGGATTCTTCGACCACGGCTTGTTCCTGTAGCCCTGTGGTGGTTACAGCAGGCGACTGAGCAATTTCCTCGGGGGCGCGCGAAGGTCCCTGTGAAGGTGTAGGCGGTTGAACAGCCTCTGCGGCAACTGCACCAACTGCAGCAGTAGCAGTGATGCCTAATCCCAGTCTACTCCTGCTCGTCATAGCCGTCGGCGTCTCAGACCTCTCCTCCTCCTCAGGCAAGATCTCACCAAGCTCGCCGACCTTGGGCGACTTTCCCATTACAACCTTCTTGCCCGTCAAACTAGTCTTACTGCCCCCGTTGAAAAAGCTGAATCGCTTCCTCGTAGCAGCAAATGTGCCAGAAATATCGGAGCGGAACGAAGGGCGAGGTGACGTGCGGCCACGGCGCTCGGGTGACGTCGGACGGGGCTGTGGGGGCTGCTGGCGTACATATGTCTGCTCAACAATAAGCCAGTTCACAGTATCGTTCGCAGGCAGCGGCTTCAGCCCGCAGATGACAAATGAGGGCCAGTTCTCAGTGATGGGGTCTGCAATGGCGTCGGACCAGAAATCGATGAAGGCCTCGTCAACCTGCGTTATGTGTACGCTCGCGAGCTTGGTGCTGAGGACTGAGGGCTCTTTGGTGCTCATCTCGCGTGGGGAGTCAGCATAGCGCTGTCCCGAGCGTGACCTTCCCCATCTCTTACTCGACTTAGGGGACACGAGCGGCTCTGTGATCTCAACATCCTTGTCTGTATCGAGGAGCGTTGCAGCAAGAGGGGTAGTTGCGCTCGTCTCACCGAAACCGCTCGTGGAGAACTGTGTCCAGTCGCTGATGATTGGCGAGGTGACCGACGAGACGGGGGACGTTGCACTGTTGCCGTTGCCATTGCCGTGGGCAGCCTTGTCCTTGCTACGATCGAGGATCTTGCTGAAGGGCGAAGAACGTCTGGGCACGGGCGATGCAACTTCAAGTGCCGGGGTGAGTGGAGAAGATGTGTTACGAGACAAGGACGTGAGGAGCTGGATCGTCTCGTCCACGAATACCCGACCAAACTGTGGGCCTTCTTGAGTGCTAACCGCCGAGGATGTAGAGGCACTTTCGGTGGCAGCAGTCTTGAGTGCGTTCCACAACTCAACTTGCTCAAAGGTTTCACCTTCAGATGACAGGTTGAATGCATCCAAGAGCAGGCGAACGGGTGATGGTTTGGGCTGAGATGCAGACTCTGACAGAAGGGTCTCTACGCGCACGAAGAGGACACTGCAGCTCCGCGTGGAGAAGCGAGGATGGGGAAGGAGATCCTCGTCAGTAGCGCGTGAGCCCCTCGAGTATGGATAGTGCGTGACAAGTTCCTGAAGTCGGGTAGGCAGTCTATAATTGAAGCTCTCCTCCCTGTGTGATGGTCAGACATGCCCTCAGCTTCACGGGGCGTACATACCTAATTCGCGCGAGGAACAAATGCTCGAGGATCCGACCAGCGCGCTCCCATCGAGCATAAAAGGTGGTCCAGTTGTCAGTTGGCTCACTCTTCGTTGCGGAGAGCAACCATAAGCCCAAAAACTTGGAAAGCTTGCTACCAGAGATGCTATTCGCTTCAGCATGCGACGCTAATGCGGATATTATGTCAACGGTCGCAAGAAGCAACTCGATGTGCGCTTGAGGGAGCTGGGGGAGGAGCAACTCTGTAAAGCTCTTGTGCGGATACGACGCCCCTTTTTCAGCATTGAAAAAGGACTTGTACCATGCCCATTCAGGTGCAGAGACATCCTTGCCAAAAGTGTTATTTTCAAGCACGAGGTGGCGAAGGCCCCAACGGAGGACAGCTGCGACGTCGTGAGGAGAGCGTGTGTACTCAAGCTCAGCCTCAAAGGCAGATATTGCCGCGGCGGGCGTTGGAGAGAGAGTGGTAATGCGGCTTTTAGGAGCCAAAGAATGGATGAAGAGCGAGATCAGCTTTCGTTGAATGTCAGGTGACGCGGAGTGCCAATGAGGGTGCATGATTCCGAGGGTTTCCAATCCTGAGACGATCATTAAATGTCAAACGGCTGTATGTTAATTAATTTGTAATAACTTACCTCGCTCAGTGATAGTCTGGGCACATGCTCGAACGAGTATGAGAGCTTCCAAAGGATTCAGGAGTCTTGCACCGATAACAGAGTCATCAAGAATCCTTTGGGACTCGGGATCAACTTCGAAAACGCCAAGTTCGACGTTGTCTTTCAGACTCGGAAGGTGGAGTGACAACTGGGGAAGATTCTCCGTGCGTTTGTGTGATGAGGGAGAGTTGGGAATCCGAGATTTAGGCCTAAATAATGAGAAACCTGCATGATCTTTACCCGTCTGAACCTTTGACAAGTTGGGGGCAGTGAAGTTCAATGGAGTCACAGCCTCATATTTTCCGTCAAGTAAACCATTGTCGATAGAATCCTGAAAAGGCTTTGCTTGGTCCTTGTCGTCGCTCGTCTTTCGGCCAAAGACCTTGTTCAAGAACGAGGGCATGGCTACTCTGACGCTTGGATTTCAGCAAGGGAACCGAATGAGCTTGGACCATGATGAGCGACATAAAGTAAGTTTCAGAAAGAAAACTCACCAATTCCGCGTTTTTGAGTGGCGCCAGAGTGATGAACGCTGGACAACGCGTATGGTAGCTCCTCGGTGATCTCTCCTGCGCTAAAACGCAACCTGTCACAAAAGTGTCCTTACAAAATCTTTCGCCACAACACCACGTGGTTTCGCGACCGATCAACAACCGCAAACTTGGCAGGGTTGCGTTAGGACTCCGACTTCATAACGTTAAACGTGAGGATGGAGGCACAATCATGGTCCATGACTTATCTTATCCACAGCGATCACGGTATGTTTTTTTTTCTAAAAGATGTGATTGAGCTTTAACGGTCTACGCCCAAATGATGATGTCCTTGGACTAGGCCTCAGACAATCCAAAGTCGATTTCATGGAACTGATAAGCTTATCACCGATGCTGGCTAGAAGGTCTTCTAGAGACTAGAGGCTGGCTACTATCACACTAGAGGCTGAACAATTTCTATTCCCAATCCACGGTGACCAAACTTCGACTTCCGCTTCTGCAGCAGATTTATCTGCCATGGCCCGTTAGTAGCCGGGCAACTCATCGCCACCATGCCAAGTTTTGAGGATATTGGACGACCTGGCGCTTCAGCTAATTAACGGTTTTTGCGCCCCGTCAGCGCTAAACAACATGTTGATAACCTTGGACTATCAGCGCTTGGTGCCGCGGAGAGTCATATCCTTCGGAGCCGCAGGCTTTTGAAAGTCTTTTTTTGTTCCGCCGCAGTCCCTGAGACATCGATTTTTGTTCATCTGCAGGTGCAAAGCCCAAAACGGTAGCACTTATACTTTGCCTCGGTGCACGGTCCTGGAAGAGGCAGAATCGCAGGTCTGTCCCAATACATCAGTATGTCAAAATAGTAAAACCCCGGCAATTATCATTTGGTATGTATTGGAAATTTCCGGATGAAGTCGTACTCTTGATGCTCCTCCATGTCATCTGTTCCCTGCAGCCCAAAATCGGTGTTTGGCCTTCAGATGCGTTCGCGGATTACGGTAGCCTACAACGACATCCCGAACACCTAATTCGTGACATTTCCACCGCTGCTATCCCATGCTGGTCTACATGATTGTTCAACGTCGTTGAAGGTTCAGTCAAGCTCTTTGTGCGCGAAGACCGGATATCTCGCAACGTCGATCTCTCCGGCACTTCCCTACCTTATAATAGATAAGCAAGGTTATGCGCTTTCGTCGAGAAGACTAGTGGTTCTATGGTGTGTCTTGTTTTCTATTTAGAAACTCCTAACTTGTTAGAGCGATAAGTACCGGATTCGGGCTGGAGTACAAGCATCTACTCTTTGCACACTGATGTTGTCGATTTGTGGGTCCAAGACTGCACTATCATGATCATCACAGACAAATGAACATGGAACATTCACCAATTGACCGCATCGCATACAAATCATTCCGTAAGTTGCCAGAGTTGCTCCATGTTAGGAGCATTGGTACTAGCCGTTTGCAGCATCATGACGGGCCCGCTCTGTGTGGGTGCAAACTTTGTCGGACATGCGCCACTTCAGATACTATCCGCAGTAATGAATGGTGTACCTCGGTGTGCTTCGTAGGTCTTAGTAGGGGCGTTATCGCTGTTATGATCAGTGTGTGACCTCATTTGATGGGTTAATCATGGAGAACCGGTTACCTGACTATTTACCCCCAAGTCTGATGATTGTGCAGCAACGTACAACGAAGTCATTCCAAGGATAAAGCGGCGAGAAGCTGAACACGCTGCTTCATCGCGTAGCTGATAGTACCGCAAGCCCAGAGTCTCCGACCCTTGAATTTCTTGGCAAACCCGGTGGCAAAGGTAAGTTCTGCAAGTTTACCATGAGGTCTGCGGTACTGGCGTCTAATGTCGGGGAAATCCCATTTACTGTATCAGGCTTAGCGGAATATGGCAACCAGACACTAAAGTTATGAAGACGTGCTCGGAAGGATCACAGGGCCAAGCAGGTAGTATATACCCGGTTAATAAATTTATCGACTCCCTGACTTCAGACACGGGTATTTCCTCTTCACACCCGATGCATCCTCCGCGGAGTCAGATACTTGACCAGATAGTAGTTGAGTTTACTAAAGCCACGGACCACTGTTGACTCAACTGAGACTCATTGACTTGCTTAGAGTAGTATAGCACCGTAATATTGATATCATTTAGTGGACCCATAGTAGCAGACGGGCACCCCGATGAGTGTGAACCCCTCTGTAAGGCCGTTGGCTTACCTGAGTTCCAACTTCCCATATTCAGCATAAATACTGTCCGAGGTAATGAAGCGTGGGCTTTCATTCTCACTGCGCCTTTATTCTATTTCCTAGATCCGGGCACAGTCTTTCCGATTTGCGAACTATCAATCATTCACTGTGCACTGTCACGTGACTGGGCCAGCTCCCGGCGGGCGTACTTGAATTCAACGTTTACCATTGGGGGCCATTACGGAGTCCTCGCTCGCTGATGAGCGCTGATGGCTTGTGAACACCGAGGGCCGGTCTCGACGAAATCATACTGCTGTCGTTGCAGGTACCCGGTGCCGGTGGGGCTTTCCGTAAGGATTGCAAGATTACTTACCTGGTGCGCTTCTGTATTCGCTCGACTGTTCTTTATGCTCGCATCCAATCATCTCAGGCTGGTGCACGATGAGCTGTCGATATCACGTCGCTGCCACTACAGGTCGTTATCAACATCCATCATTGCCGACGATATCACAGATCAGACATACTTAACCGAGTCTCACCGCACTGTTGTTCTCTTCTTGTCGAGTCTTGACACCAGATGACGGCACAATCAGGTTTTCTTTAGCTGGTGATTTTCCTCATCATGATGATCACCGGCAACATTCTCGCACTAACAGCCTTTCGGACATTTGGACACTGCGCTTGCATCGACCACCGGAGACCGGTACTTGTTTTCAACAACACTATGTTTGCTGTCATCAAGCTTCCCACAGAATTTTTAGTAGGACAAATGACCATTCCCTGCCCGACAGAATCCTCCCCCACTAATCGTGGGAGTCGGGAATAGCACCCTTGGATTGTGTACATTGGCAGTGAGTAGGTGGATAATTAATTTGCTCCTCATTTTCGTTCGATGAACTTCCGAAGTTTTGACATTGTGATTCAACAATGAAACAGCAATCCAAGTAACTGGAAGGATGTCCGAGTAAATATCATGGACAGGCAGTGGTGGGCTGTCGATTTAGACTAGACAATGCCAGGTCTCGCCGGGGTGTGTCTTAATGATGAACCCTGCCAGTGGCCTGAATCTCAGCGCTCCGTCCGCTTTCAGGGTCCCGTAATCCAACATGGCTGTATACGTATTGGGCCACGTCAGGGAATCTGTTTTTTTTTTCGACAAAGTTCAAGGATTCCTCGCTGTGCAGTGTGCATGTGCATTACCTACGAAACACCTGGAGTATTTGGCTGTCCGTCGGTTGAGACTCGAGTGTATTGCTTGTCGACGTTCATTGCAATTTGCAAGCCAAGGTCAGGGTTTGGACAGGCTTAGCGGAGCGCCGCCAGTATAGCAAGTTACCAGTATGTAACTCCGCTTGTCAACAGGCACGCAGCGAGGCTGTTCAGCTTATTGCAAGCGAACTGCAGGCGCCTATTGTCTATGTGACCTCCCGCTATCATCAACGTCCCCCCCACAAGCACCATGTCGTCTGAGCAAGGAGCATACGACCAGAACCTACTAGATAAAGCCCCCGCAGCGACGAGGGCACAGAGGCAGGTGTGCAGTACAAGACATGCGTCCCAATTCGTCGCTAACTAAAACGTGTTTGCTACATAGGAAGGTTACAACGTCGATTTACTCGATGACCGTCCTACCCGCCCCACATCTACCCAACTATTCAAACCTCCACCAATAATTGCTGGTGATACAGATGTCGAAAGCAGTTCATTGACGAGGGAAAAAGTTGTCCCTGCCACGCATCCCACCCAATCTTTCTGGCGAAGTCGCAATGGCAAAATTATCATGTTCGTTATCGCCGTTGTCGTTGTCGGTGCTGTGGTTGGTGGTGCCGTCGGTGGGACTGCTGGGAAGCTCAGCTCAAATAACAGCGCCGCCCCTCCTCAGAATGCAACCTCAGAAAGTAACTCTACAACCTCTACAACCTCAGGAAGTAAATCTGCAATCTCTGCAACCTCATCTGACACCACAGGTGGTCTAACCTCAATCGGTGTCGGCGGCGGCGGTCAATCGATTGCCACCTCTACAGCCTCTGCGTTCCCAGGTCAGCAGTCATTGGAGGTGGCGGATGTCACATATAGAAAGCGCTCATAGTTGGACGGAGGATGCAGGGGGGCGATGGGGTATATCAACTAACCAGTAATTTCTCTTGCGGATCACTTATGCATATGCTACATATGTTTGCCACCTTACCATATGAACGGTCACTATATACTTATACCAAACACGCCATTCCTCCCGTCATGCAGCTGCAGCACCTGTAATATAGCCATTGCAACTCGAGACGATATGTGCGCCAAGACATGTCAGTTTCCCGTCCAGACCCCAAACCGTTCATGAGAACCAGCCTTTAGGCTGATCCACCTCATCCTGTTTCACTTCCCCATCTCTCTGTTGCCTGATGGCCTCCAATATCGCTTTCACGCCCTCCACGTCCCCTACACTAGCACGGCCACCGATCCAGTCCACAACAACAGGCCATTTAAACACATTCGGATTTTGCTCCGCAAGACTCACGATTCCTTTCACGCTCTTCGGCTCTTCGCCCGGTCCAGGCGATGCAGGATGCGCAGATAAAAAGGTAGATAACGCAGGGGGAGCAGTCGATCTCAGCGGGGTAATGTACGAGAGAATGGTCTTCAGCTGATCGGCCGTCGGAGGTTTCGTTTCGACGACTTCTAGATCAAACTCAAGAGGGGATGCAGATTGCTTCCCAGGGGGATAAGGCGAGTCGAGGGCATTCCGCAGCAGCGCGAGGGCCTGGATTGATGGTGGCGATGACGGATGGTGACTGTATGGAAAGGATATATTCAGCTCTCATAAGGTTTCCTCACGGATGACAGATGATGCACACAAGATGGAGATTTGGGGCTATGGTTTGATTATCAGTTCAGTTTGCATAAGTTAGCTTCTGGGAAATCCGGGGACTCACCAGTGACCGCTTGAATCCAGTGAACATCTTCGGAATGTCGTATATGTACAAATTCTAGTCGACGTCGTTCGTCATCAAGAAGGTTCCCTATGTCAGCGGCGTATGTGTGTCGATAATTAGTCAGCAGTGGGTACCTTCTTCAAAATGGAGCGGCGCATAAACTCACTTGATCCATTTCGTCAAATGAGCGCATCAGCTGGGCCCCCCCAATTAAGTTCCGAGGCGTAGCTTGGTCAATTGTATTGACATATACATGGCAGAATCCCGTTAATATACAAACAAAAAAATTACGCGTAGCTCCATGCATATAGATCCTTTCCGAGCAGGACCGATGTGTCACCGAGCTCGGGGAGACTTGTAACAAGAAACAATATGTGATATGTTGATACAAGAAAATGGCAACACGTGAGGCTCGGTGTCGTAAGCGGGGAGAGAACCCAATAGTGACCTGCACAACCAAGTCCACAAGACCCGAAAACAATCACTGGTGGTATAGTATGTACTAGGTTGCGGGTGATAAATAGATTATCGATACAATTAGGGCTAGCAAGATGAACAAGATCGAATTAACACAAGAGAGGTATACTGTATTCCAACTCGAACAAGTTTAGATTGACAGCAAGCTTGATTCGTATGTGGGCTCGGAGTACGCCTGTGACAGGTCGAAGCTGGGTTCTGGGAATAGCGACATGTGATTTGAGAAGATGCCGTCAAAATTGAGGCCGCCGATGTCCAGCCCTCCTTGTAATTCTTGGCCGGTACTGAAGGAAGGCGCTGAGAATGAACGCGGCTGTGATGCCCTAAAGGCCTCACGAGACATAGCATGTGATGAAACTGCGGAATTTTCAAGAGATTCTGAGAGAGTGGATGGGCTGGAGTGACATGAACTAGGGCGTGAATGAGATGATAATGCATAGGGGTGGTAGTGGTGTCGGCTAGAACTGCTGGATGCAGAATGCGAGCGCATGAGAGATGGAGTCGCGCTTCTATGACGTCTATGAGGTCCGATCTCAGAGGGTGCTATATGGAGGGACATGTTGTCCAGGGCAAAATCCTGTCTTTGAGACGGACCTGAGAGAGACGACATGATCGGTTCCCCGTTCATCGACGGAGAATTCATGAAGGGACTGGCCCAGGTCTCCGACGACTCAACGTACCCGGCGTGGTTCCCAGTACCGCTTTGCAGAAAATAACTGTTACCGAGCCCACCATCTGAGGTGGCATCGGTATCCATAACGGGGGAGACGACACCAGACAGTGCGACTAGGCCCTCTTCGTCGCCTTGCACATCTTGGACCTGGCCTCGCAGTTCCAATACACACGTCTCCATGTCCTGTAAGCCACCCTCTGCAAAGGAGAGAGCCGCAGCAAAGGCAACGTCGCCTTCGTCTGCTTCCTCGTTTTCCATCTCATCATCGCACGGATCAGCGGAAGCTGTATCAGACCCTTCAGTCCGTGCGTGTATGCGAAGATGCTGGTTGAGGTTGTCCGATCGAGAGAACCGCTTCTTGCAACGGTCACACACAAATGGGCGTTCCATGGTGTGAGTCCGTACGTGCCTCTTTAGGTGCTCCATGCGCTTGAACAAGCGGCCACAGGAATAGAGGGGGCAAACATACACCTTCGAAGTGAGCGTCAATCCGTTGGTGGCGTGATGGCCGTCTACACCCGAAGGGAACGAAGATAATGAGGAACCCTCCGTAATAGGATGGAGATGGGATTGCGATGACGGGTGTTTGTTTGATGACCGCCCGAAGCCTGATCCGTTTGGCAGGGTGACAGAAGTCTGCCCTGAAGCGAGTTGCGGTGTATTGGACCAGATCGCGTTATCCGCTTGAATCATAGCCTTGACTCGTCTCACGCTAGGATCTTGTTCACCTCTCGCTTGGGAGGTGAACATATCGGCGGCTGTCATGCCGGAATCATCAAGTCCATAGCCAACGCCGACCTCGTATGCGTGACTGTGTGACTCTTCTGAGTCACTGAGCTTTAATGCATCGACTCTGCTGACCAGTTTTTTGCGACGTTGTTTATAGGTGGGAGAACCTTCAAAAATAGAAAGGGGCAGGTACGCCATATTGGGACCATGCAGTGCTGAGGGAAGATGCGTGACGCCTCCGCCATCAATACGACTGTTACTAAGATGCAACTCCCCCGAGTTAGAGTTGTGCATCGCCCCCGCACGTGAAACGGTTGGTGCTGATCCGTTTGTGTCACATTTCGCATTCATTTGAGAAACGTCAAAATCGTTGATGACGTCGCCATCGGCTTCCATGGTGCTCTGCGCCTTGCTGAATTGTTCATACAGGCTGCGCTGTGGCTCGTACGTAAACGAGAGGGCAGGTTCACCCATGATGACGGTAGTTGGTTCCAAGTCCATCTTCTCGCGTTTGAGATCGCGTTCGAGGGCATCAAGGAAAAGGCGATCATGAGGGACCGAGAACCTTTGGATGAAAGTGAGCCACAAATTTCAGGACAATATGGGGAGAGGACGTACCAGTAGAACACCTTTTGCTTTTTCTGAGTGCGTATGCACTGGTATTTGAAAAGAAGATCAAGAAATGGCGACTAGTGTGTACATGAGATGATGCATCATGGGAACATCCGGATAACACTAACCTTGGGTTCTTCCAAGCAAGCATCGACACCAGGCTTTAGATTTCGCAGATCGCTAAAGATACCTTCCTCGAATTTTTTCATGTTTTTGACGGGTCTTCCAAATGCCTCGAAGCGGAAAACAAGGGCTCGAACAATGTCTGTGCCGGTTATGTGGTAGCGATTATTCCACGAAACACAGGTAATATATTCCGAAGAAGGAAGGAGGAACCGGTTCATAGATGGATGTGATGAGGCTGGGTGGCCAGAGGAAGCCATGGGAAATGAATTATTTTTTGCTAAACCTGAAGGGGTCGAGGACCACCGGGAAGGAGCAGTAGCGAGAAAGAACTTGAGTTCATCCATTTGGAGGAGATTTTCTTGCTCCTGCACGGTCAAATGCCTTGTCAAATTTTTGCATGTACTTAACCCAGTAGCTGATGGGTTGAAGCGAGGGACGAATGCAGATTGAGAGTGGGCAGAGTTACGATCAGTAATGTGAGGCTGACGGGATTGGTAGGAGGCTGTTGTTCGTCGATTGCTATGCATTGTGGGGGATCCTCCTGATGTCAGAGAGATAGAATTCGTTACGCGCCGATCAGGCGCTTGCATTAGATGGGCATTGGGGTAGTCGTTCAAGAGAGAAGGAGAAGAAGATGCAGAGTTGGATGATGAACCAAACCCTGGGGCGCCTGTATCAGGTGAAGAATCAAAGGTTGGTAGATAAGGGTCCATGAGATCACTGCTTTCAGTGAAGGTGTCGTGAGGAGGTGAAAAGAGTAAGACAGACGACCTGTACGATGATGAGCGACAAAGGTTTGGGTTGAATGCAATGATACGCACTAGAGAGAAAAGCTGGAGGAGGGAGGATGGATGCGATGACCGATTAGATGAAAAGTAAGGTTGTATGTAGTTATAAAGGGAGGAGGGTGATCCATTTGCGTGTGCACCGGAAGAATTATTATATATCAAGAATGATATAAAAATACGGAGATGGGCCGGTCCTAGAAATGAAATCATATTGGATGCAATCGTTCGTTTGGGTCATCCGCCATTGGAAAGGGTCTTGACGCCGTACGGTATGCTGATGCATACCTACTTGGTCAAGATGCCGGGGTTCCAATACATGTGTTGATTACTTAATCATCCATTTTTAAATCCTTCCACAGCCTTATCCTGCCTTGGATACATGGACAACCAACCCAGCATACTCCCGGCGAATTTCTGAACTCCTCCAAGAGCGCTTTCGAACATACGTACATGGGACAAACGTTAATATGGCAGTGTTCTGAATCTTAAGATCACGAAGTTTTCCTAATTATACCGCGGAGCTATCTCGTAACCCCCGAACTAGTCGTGTTACTTTGATAAGCTCTTGAGATGCGGTGGGTCATCGACAGGCTAGGCTGATGCGGATGCGCATGGACTGATGAACCTGAACCTCCTTCATCGGATTTGATCGCATTCACAGCTAGCCGCCTTCGCGGGATGATCATCTTCATCATGCTGTGATGCGCGATCTCCCTTTCCATGTGAGTTCCCGTTGTATATGAAACAGAATAGTTAACCTACGCACATGCAATTTTTGATCCTTTAGCACCGCTAATTAATCCATAACCTACAATCCGGATACCTTCATGGGCCCCGGATTGACCCTATCAAGGCATGATTCCGACCCAAGTCTATTAGCGGTCCGATCACCTTGATCATCGCGTCATTCCGAACTCTTTCAAAAAAAGTTCTACTGTGGGCCCGCCACCATCTCTGAAGCATCTTGTGGATGCCGTGCTTCTGCATTTCACGGGACTTTTGTTCATCTACCATTGCGAAACTCTCAAGTACGAGAGAACTCTAAGTACAACAAGATGCGTGTGGCATCAAACTGACTTTGTCGAGCATAACCATTGATATCAGTGCATCACATCGAATGTGGGTGTAATGAGCAACGTACTGCCTATGCGCCACCCATTATTGTATTCAAGCCCGAGAACAGACGTTGACCCACAAAGGTGCTGAATAGAGTAAATACCGAAGTCAAGCACTTATTTCGAACTGACTTTTCGCCTCAATCCGCGGGGGCCGGCGGCAAACTGGACGAAAGATGATCATTACGCCACTGGTGATAATCATGCCGTGCCTGTTTGTTAACGAGCGTGAGTTCAGAACCGAAATTTACTCGGTAGTTACAAACCTGAAAGGAATTATCTGTCGAAATGATCTCGACGCCGCGGCAGCCATGTTTGGGCCTGAGCAGTGGGGAACCATACATATGCGGATATCACTGCAGAAATGAGTAGATCCAAATGTCGAAACTTTGGGCGCATCAATTGGGGGGGCCTCGTTTTGTTAAACTTCGTTCCGCCGGGGAGTGGAGAATGGAAATCACTACTAGTAGAAGACACCGCTTTCTGTGCACGCATACACATTTACGTTGCCCGACGAATAACAGGAGCAAAAGGAGTTATTTTCCTCAGGGATACAACTTCCCTGAAATCATCATAAGTATGGATTGCTACTGCGCACACAAAACACGTGCTGTTCTTACCTGTGAGGCTGCGTCCTGCTGCTGAGGGCTACGATCACACCTACAACGGCCCGGCTCGCCATGTCAATGAAATCCGCCAGCAAACGAGGCACTCGACTTGTTAATAGGTGTCCTCGTGGTATGAAAGCAGCGGAAAAGACACATCACCGACTCGGAATGCTAAGAGAATCTTGACCGATGTCGCCGGGATGGCTTGTAATAAGTCGCGCGTATCAAAAAATGACCAGTCGGTAATGGTGAGCCGGAAGCATAACCTTCAATTTTCAGTTCTCGTCAGAACACCGGGGCCTGTCTGCTCTGTCGAGTCCTTAGTTTACGGGATGACCATAAATTCAGGTTCAGAAATAACATACACGTAAGCTGCGAGACAATCGGTAATTTCCTAGGACAAAAAGGATCCGCTTGCCTGCCCTGCAATGCATGTCTCGCAGCAGCAGCAGTCCTGTACCGAACCAGGTGTAGTGGCCTTTTGATGTTGTTATTGTGATATTGAAGCGCCTAAATAGGTGATCGGTCGATCGATCGGGCGTTTGTTTGGTTCTAAAGCTCTTGCCAAACACGCCTGAACCGGGAAAATTCATTTCATTGATTGTGAGCCCGAAAATTGGACCAGAAGTCGAGTTCTTCGCTCGCAAATCAAGCAACGTTATCTAGGGCTTCCATTGTTAACTATTGTCAATTGTGTGCGTCGTTGGAGCTAGCGTCGCGTGCGAGTATTCTTTACCCTGAGTATCCGAGCTCCCCGAGTGTTTTCTTAGAATGGGTCCGCAGCATCTTGCCAACCAACACCCACCAACAACTCGCCTGAGGTCCTATTGAGAAATCCGTACGGCACTAGCTGCAAACTTTGAAGTAAGCATCTTCACAGCTGGCCATCCCAAACATATTCCAGAAAGAAGTTCCTCGACCACCTAACTTCTGATGCAGTCCCACTCCCGCCCCCTTTGATTGCCGATCTTTCATCATCCCGGCAAATCACACCATCAGCTTCAATAGCAGCGATCATTTCATCTGCAAGTCCGATCGTAATATTCTCTTCTTGGGCGACCTGACTTGTCGTCATCATACCAGACATGGCAAGATAGCCAACTATTCGGGCCGTGAACGAAGCGTGGGTGTATGGGGGCATGTGGAGGACGGATAAGCCTGATTTAAACACTCTGCTGCGGATAGGCGGTGTTGTGTATGCCGGAAGATGGGGAAGAACTTGAAGAAAAGTGGATGGCGGAATTAGAGCTGCGCAAAATGTGTTCAGGAGCTCACTTGGGCGGTGTCACAAAAGAAGGTTTCCTTACCTACGCCTCTCGCGCGATTCCATCCGCCCCAAACCTCATCTAGTCCAACAATCCCTCGTTCTTTCATAATTCCGACTGATTTCTGACTGGGGATATCATCCGGCGACCCTTGCAACACCCCCGCCAGTTCCCGTGCCAATTCTTCTACCCACTTTCTTTCGTCCCTGATCATGTCTAGCGTGACGGGAGCATTAGACATTTGTAAACCCAGCTGCGCAAGTGAAGAACGTATAAATTTGGCTTCTTCGGGCTCCGTTGAGGGGACAAGTGCGGTAGTTGAAAATAAACTTGGTGTTTGGGTGCCTGGGGTTGACGACGAAGAATTCGTCGAAAATGGAGAACCAAGCGTTGAAGTCGTAGTCGTAGAGCATGCAGTAAGTTTCTCGTTCAGCTCCCCCGCGAGGTGAACGAGATCCTTTGCTTTCATCATTATGCCTTCTAAGTCTTTCAGGGCATCATTTAGATCTGTTTGTGTATTCTGGGCCGAAGCTTCTACATTACGCAGGATTCCATCTTAAGAACCAGTAAACAAATACAAGTCAGTGCCGGCGGTACCAACAAATGGAGTTGTATTCCCCACCTATTCCAGAAGGACGCATGGCAACGGGTGTGGGCCCATGTTCAGGGTTTGTGACGGCGAGGCTAGAAGTCCCGCTTCTCCCGGAATGACCAATCCGTTTGCCCTAATTATTGGGATACGCGATTAGTTAGATTGTCTTGGAAGAACGGCGTGCTTGCCTCCCAAGCCTGAGATTTAATGGCACGCCTGAGCACGTTGTAAAATGGTTTGTCGCCGCCTTTGCGGAAGCTTAGTTTGATGAGGAGATTCGCAGGATCGAGGCTGTCTCCTACGGGTGATACTGGTCGAGTGGAGGGGGCGGATTTTGCCCTCATACTCCCGGCATGTTCAATAGTGGGAAGCGGCGTCGTGCATATTTCGCAGACACGCAAAGACGGGTGATTAAGAAAGGTACATGCAGGACACGCAATTTCATCGGGATCATCATTCGTTGATGGAGGAGATAGAGGCCCTGGAGAACTCGAGGAAGACAGAGAGGTGTATGGAGACTCGGGAAGGGAGGGGAGCAAGGATTTACTTTGAGATAATGGCTCCGGCGCTGTTGACCCCGCAAAAGCGCTGCGCGGCACGCCACATAGAGCACATATTCGAGCTGCGGTTGGGCTCAAACCTGGAGGGTTGCGATGGCTGCAGACTTCGCATTCCCAGCTCTCGAATACTTCTGTTTGCTGCCCGGACGTTGCGTTCAAAGGTAAGGCAGTATCGACGTCGAGGAATAAGGAGACCTTTGGTGAAGATTTGAACAAACCAGCGTAATAATTCGTCCGTATCACATGAAGTAGATCCATAGTAAAAGAATACGATGTAGGGTTCTGCGAATGAACGAAGAATAGGCGATGCGTCGAGACGTGAACAGAACCTGACTGGTAGTCAGGAGCTTTCTGTAGGCTGTTAATCGGCGGCATGAACACAGAAGCCAGTGCACCAGGTCAAAGTCAGAAAGTAAACGTACCCATCATATATGCCTACGTTATCCTGGGATGCTAGAACCTCTTCATCGTCATAGAGGAGTGCAGGGACTGGGATGGTACCATCGATTGATGCTGTGTACCGCCGAAGTGCCATGAGCAATGCAATTTGAAGTCAGAAGACCAAGTAGCGGAACAAAAACTGTTGGCGGGGATGGAGATGAAGGCATATCGGAATGAGAATACGACTATACAGCTTACCGCTCGCACTAAAGACAGAAAAGAGGTCGGTCCCCTTTATGAGCTCGATGTCCTCTCAATACGATACATTCGACTTGTACACTGCGGCGAGGGTTGGTTGCAATCCCGAACTTGTGTATTTGAGGTTTTCCCGATAGTTTGAGACGTTCGCAATGCGCATAGAACCGACGCAGATGTGCAGCGTCGAATGCTTAGTATCTGGACTCGGAAGGGTGTTGTCGATGCCAACGACAGTGCCGCAGTAACAAGACATCATTTATGTACACATATTTAAGATCAGCTGTAGTCAGCCCCAGCTGGACCAATACAGTCGCGTCGGACACTGTCGGTCCTTCAAAACATGCACTGACATGCATGTGCGACTTAGCCATCGCAATCATTGAACCCTGCACCGGCTGCACCATTCTTAGACTTTCGGGAAAGGAGACCCGTATCACTGAAGGAGGTACACGGTATGTTCTTGGCTATAAGAACTTCGCGTCGGTGACATATGTCACTTAAGTCCTGGTTCCGAACTTCGATAAGCCTCTTCTCCCGCCGGGGAGGCTGCTGTCCTGCACCTAAGTATTATCGCCTTGCGATGGTGTCTCTGGAGACTCCTGTGTTCTACTCTATCTCTTTTTGCATGTTATCTTGCGATTTTGCGCCAGCTTTATGCTTACCCGACTTTGCATCAACGCTCACGTCTCGCGTATCGGCCCTCTCGATTCCGTTCCCGCTCTTTACAGATTGTATAATCGGCCACAACCTCATCGACTACATGCCTATTTGTTCCGCATTACTTGCAAAATTGTGGCTCATCAAGTTCCAGTCTCCGTTTGTCTATTTGCACTTTGTTTCGCCTCGCCGTTCTCACTGACTGTCAATCAGTCTCAGTTTCTGATGAACAATCCGTCAGGTTCTATATCACGAAGCCCTGTCCCGTACGTCCACGACCTGAATGGCAATGTCTGCAAGTTGTCCGTTGGGTCTCAATTAGGATTCGTGTTTCTTTGGGTTAAAGCGATTTGTTTTTGTACTGGTACGTAACCTCGGGACACAGCACTTCTTCTATTAACGACAATGAGTTGGATTCACAATCATATCGGATAATTACTCTCAAGCCGGACCCTGCGAATACTCCTCTTTACTGCGCATTCACTAGCAGCTCATTAATCTGTTACACATCACTCGAGTACGATAACTCTTCTTCTTTGGGATCCAACAAGATTTGGTCTTGCAACATGCTCTCCTTATATGCCTGATACTGACATAGTGTTTCGGGGTGTCGGCGTCGTTCTTTCTCCGATCACTGTCTCTCGGAACAGTCTCCGCTGCACCGCATTTACGATCCGTCTGATCACTCATTTAGATAGACGTCTCCAGGACGGTGCATTATATGACGAATGTCTGTGACCGGGGTTTTGATATTATCCGAATATCGTTAATTAGGCTTTTATTCAGGCTATCACCTTCTACATACGTCAGTACATGCTGGCTGCACAAATCGCGGGCATTAATCAGTTACATCGCCATCGCCATCTAACACTATCAACAATTTGGTAGATCAGGGCTAGCACTGGGTACAATGCACCGTTGTTTAATTAGTAACTTACAATCTGAGCAAGCCTGTGCGAGACCGAAGCTAGACGTTGTATGCCTATCTCCATCGTTTCCATATAGATCACTTACCTATGATTGTACCTTTTGTACAAGGACAATGTAGCTTGATCAACGGATCAACGATTCAAGATCGCTCGGGCATTCACCCGATCAACAGCACATTGTCAAATAAGATCTACAAACGTTGGTCTCACTCTGATAATAACTGTGCACGTTTGTCCATCCCAGGAGGGGGAGCTACACCAAACTTTGCTATTGAACGGAGTGGCGCTTATCAGACAAAGATAGGATAGCAGGGTCATTGCGGCGGATTTACCAGAAATCGCCTAGCGCTGTTACCATTACTTTTTCTTCTTTGGCTTTTTCTTCTTAACACCTCCAGCTGCCGGACCCGCAGGTTGTGGGACTAATGGAGACGAAGAGCGTGCCTGGTCTGCGTCTTTAGTGGTATCGGGCGCACCTAAGGCGTGTGCGATTGGTGTGGGGCGTCTATTCTGCATTTTCTGCATCAACGATAGATTCAGAGCTTCGAATCGATTGAGGAATATTGAGGAGTAAGTTTTGAACTTTATGCACTGCGGAGATGTGCGAGTGAGATGTGGACTCGGACGTGGATGAGATAGCGACACACTGTTGTATCATCTGTAATCTTTAGGACGAGCTTGCCTTCTGATGATCTCCACTTCACACAGTATCGAGCCTGTGTGCAGATCATCAACATCAAACAGTGATTAATGACTCTAAGACGAACTTTGTTCGGGGAATTTGTGTAGAGATTTTCAGCTGCTTCCTGAAACTCTTGCCAGGAGGCGATGTATACCATGCTCGCATGTGTAAAACGCGCAGTGCGCACTCGAGAGTCAAGTCCATTTAGTAAGGTTTGGTCACAAGATGTCACGCTATGTCACCCATTAATGGTCACAGCTGCCTGCTGAACCGATTGTCAAAAAACACTAGTAGTCGGCGTCCGCGCGTGCCGCCTTCTGTTCGCGTCTTACCTCCGACTCGTGTCCAACACTGTGTCAACGGACTCTTGAACTGTTTCTTTCTATTCCTCCTTAACTTTATCCTTCTCAACCCAAACCATAATGGCCACGGATCAGCGGAAACGTGAGTTAGGCAACTTGCATCGTAGGCGCCGTACGGGAGACTCTTGCTGACAGAATAAACCACAGCACTCCCTTTCATTGCGAATTTTGCCGCCGGCGCGATTGCTGGTGTCTCAGAGATTTTGACGTTTTACCCTCTAGGTGAGCCGCATTCACCTTATAAGGCGCCCGCTCACTCGTAGCTTAGATGTCGTGAGTATATCTGTACATATGACTCTCGGGTCGGTGACGGAGAATGCCCTAGGTGAAAACTCGCATGCAGCTTGAGACCGGAAAGGCCAAGCATGGAATGGTTGGCACTCTATCGTCCATAGTGCGGGAAGAAGGGTAAAGTCATGACATTATGATGCTCACGCGACTACACTGCTGATATCCTCCACAGTTTCGGCCGACTTTACCGAGGTAAAGGATACTCTTACACTCTTCGTTACGAATCCCTTAATTTGGTTTATAGGCTTGGTCCCTCCTCTTCTTCTCGAGGCGCCAAAGCGTGCCGTTAAGTTGTGAGTCAAGGCTCTCATGAGGAATTCCCATGTGTTGTCTTACCGCCGCAGCGCTGCCAACGATTTTTGGGGGAAGACCTACATGGGCTTATCCGGAGAGTCTAAGATGACACAGCAACTCTCTATCTTGACAGGTTGCAGTGCTGGTGCGACAGAGAGTTTCGTTGTCGTTCCATTCGAACTTGTCAAGATTAAGTACGACTATCGTTATCATACGCCCCCTTCCTTTTCTCTGACCCTTGTCAATAGGCTGCAAGATAAGACTAGTACATTTGCTGGACCCATTGATGTGGTCAAGCAGGTCCTCAGGAAGGAAGGTCCTCTTGGTCTCTATGCCGGCATGGAGGCAACTTTCTGGAGGTTAATGAATCCACAATCTAGCGTCTCTGATTATTGACCCTAAGAGACCAGGCACCTCTGGTGGAATGGTGGGTATTTTGGATGCATTCATCAAGTCCGTAGCATGTTGGCACCAGCCGAGGCACGTGTTCAGCAATACATCGTTGTATTTTTCTCATCGCCTAGCTTAGACGCAGCAAGGGCAGCTATTAAATAATTTCATTTCTGGAAGTGTAGGCGGTTTCGTCGGAACCCTCATAAATACCCCGTGAGTTGTAATCCAGCAATCTCAGTGAAGTGAGACTGATGTGCCTCTCAGGTTCGATGTATGCTTTCCTATTCAGTCTTTCAGTCTGGTCAATAACACCGCTACGTTTAAATTTAGGTCGTGAAGTCTCGCATCCAGGGTACTGCCAAGGTCCCCGGAGTCGTGCCAAAATATAATTGGACATATCCTGCGTACGTTTCTTCCTGCGTTATCGAGGGAGATACTGAACAATGCAACAGATTGATGACCATCATGCGCGAGGAGGGCCCTGCAGCTCTTTACAAGGGCTTCTTGCCGAAGGTCCTCCGGTTAGCACCTGGAGGTGGTGTTTTACTCCTAGTGGTTGAATTTACACTTGGAGTATTCCGGAAGGGTGAGTCTCTGCGCATTCCCCTTCTCTGCCATAAATTAACTCTATTTGAAGCTCTTGGTCCACCTTACATCTAAAATGTGGAGTTAGTGATTAGTGAGCAGGCTGAAACAGCAACGTAACTAATAGATTACACCACAATGGACCACTTTCACAAACATCTTCACTAAGAAACCGGAACACAAATCTGAACAAATCTTGATGCGGAAACGAACGATCCATGGGTCTGATTCTGAGGTATACACGTAGTTGCCAATGACGGCCGATATGACACGACGATTGTAGTCGCCATGATTCATTGATTCAACAGCACGACGTTCACACCCAGGTAGGGCCCACCCAAACAACATCAATAGTCATTGGCAACCACAATACGCAAACTGAAACCGACGCATGGTTGCCTTTTCCTCTGCTGCAGGTCGATGAAAGCCACCGGTTGTTTTCAGGTACAATGGTGTTTTGGATTGGAACCGTTCTAGCGAGGAATACGGAGAGGGGCAACAGTGAGGCGGTCCAGACGAGACCTGGGCTATACATGGCGGGCCAACACAGTTTAAATTCGGAGGGCCTTCGGAGAACAACGAGTCAGACCAACAAGGAAGTCGGATAAGGGTTGATAACGACAGATGAAATGACGGCATCCTATACTGGTCGCCAGAATTAACGGCACTGGTAATAGATTGGTGTCTATTGGTGTCAATGAGCTTCCAGAGTGGACGCCAAGTTCACCTTGGAGTATTTGGTTCTATTATTTTCAAAAGCTCTTGATAAATAAAACCAAATAGAAACCCCGCGGAGTTTCAACTTTGGTTTCACTGATAGCGGATGGATGTGCGCGGATGTCTCAGACTCGCTGCAACTGAATTACATGACGCAGTCATCTGCCCGCACATGTATAGGAACTTCGAGGAGGGTCCGCCATGGTATAAAAAGGCTAACGCCACAGGGGCAACGCCACCGGATCAATCCGAGTAACCCCGCTGCTCGAAATGTCAACTTCAAACTGGACTTGTCCACCTGCACATCCATTCATCCCCGCTACTCCGGGCGATCGACGTTCTCCTTGCCCAGCGCTCAATACCCTAGCAAATCATGGGTACTTGTAGGTTTTTTTTCGTTCCTGCTAGCAGTTCCAAACCTAATAAACTCCATCACCACCAGGCCACGCAATGGACAAAACATTGGACTTTGGCATCTAATATGCGCAGTCCAAGAAGTGTACAACCTGTCCTTCGTCCTGGCAGCCTTTCTTTCCTTGGCAGGAGTCCTACTTTGTGGTCACGCCTTACGTCTGGACCTTGACGCACTGGCCATGCACAACAAAATTGAACACGATGCATCCCTCGTTCACGCAAATGCATCGGGTCAACAACGTGCACCTACTGAGGTCGACCCCGAACTTCTCAAGTCGTTCTTAAGCCATGCAGATCCTCAAGGAGGCATGAGTCTGTACGACTTCGCACAAGTACGCATATGTCGCGAAGCCCAACTCTCTCGTCCACTCGACCCCATCCATTCCCAGATAGGGGCTGGTGAAGCAGCTCTGTGTTGGTTGCTTCTCAAGCAAGATAATGGTCGCATCCCGTCAAGCACACTTTCACAGTGGTACGGGGAAGAACGTCTGCCCGATAACTGGGCGCGACCACGTCATGTTGTAGGGTTGCTCAATGCGCGCACAAAGGCGGTGGAAGTGGCAAACATCATGAGCAGTCTCAGAAAATCTACTTGCCGTGGTGCACCGTCGTGCTCCGACTTCAATGTCAATGTCTTGAGCCTAAGGCCGATACTCAAGTATGATTCATAGAATGTCTGTGCAATATATATACTACTACTGATGTAGAGCCTTCCGCCTTCCATCATGCATTCTTCCTAGCTCAGTTAACGTGCTGCCTGTTGTTGACGGAGACTTCAAATAACAGTCTGAAGTGTATCATAGTCTTGAGAGCGTATAGACAAGTGTTCCGAGTTAAACAACTGGTTACAATCAACCAGGAGCCTACCAGCAATCTCTGCTTCTGCCAAATTACTTGTTGTTTCCCTCATATATTAGGAACGATCGTCTTCCTTCTTTCAGAATCTTTAAAGTTTACCAGTGTTTGAAATGAAGTTTAAGTGCCCGACAAGGTTGCGGTAATCATTAATCATTAATCATTGCCCACAGTCGGTAGAGTTTTTCACATCGCCAGGGATATATCACAACCGTTTCGCCTCACTGGCGGTTACTGTAAAGATTCTGGATAATTTCCAGGGCTTTTGGTTTCCCCACACTGCCAACATAGTGAATGCACCACAGTATCTTGGGTCGTAGAGAAGGACATCTTGACTTTGTCCGTCGTCCACGCATTTCTCATACAAGTTAATACTTAGCGTTTACTCGTCACTGATCACAAAAACAGACGTAACCGTACCCACCAGAAAGTCATTATCGCATGCCATTGTGTTACGAGTAGTGGGCCAAGTAGGATTTCATGCACGGAATGTTACGCGGTGTTTGGTTAGTTCTTGGACCATCAACATGTTGCTTATTCTAGCTTGCGACTGTCCGTAGACTTGTGGGACAGCAACGTATTTACCATGAGATACTCCCCAGCGGCGCAGATACCAGCTGACCAAACCAATAATAGAGAAGTTATGCAAAAGAAGCTGATCGATTGCCCAATCTCCAACCACGATCCTGTGACAAGTACATGTCAATTCGGTACAATTTGACCACCAGCCAACCCACTCACCAGTATCCGTGACGTTCAGGAAAAATGCCATCGTCATTCCTGATCTAGAGGTTAGCGATCATTGGAGGCCAAAAGGAACAACTCACCATCAGTGAGCGTCAGAGCAACCAGAAATAGCGAGAAGGGCGGTAGGTGGAGTTTTGCATTCAAAGTGGCAAAAACAGCCGACAAGATCACATATGGAGCGACAATTTTGAATATCTGTGGCAATCCCTTCAAGCTTCTGGTATGCGGAGCAAGACTTGAAAAACCCACCAATAACGCTGCCATCAAGAATGGATTGAAGATTGGTACCAGACGGTAGACGGGTTCTAAGTAGAACGATCTACGAGAGGTGAGCTGCCGAGCTGGTCCAGCTCGTCGAGGGAACTCACGAAATTGACGCAACACTGGGCATAGTCAATCATCATTATTGGCACAACGAAGGGCAATCCACTCACTTTCCGGTTCCAAAGAAAGCCACCTGAACGAAAAACAAGAAAAAGAGTGCTATTCTGATATCATCAGTGCGAAACTCGTATTCTTGATTCTGCGAAGCGGTCCCAGCTCGATTCGACTGGACGGTCACCTCAACTTCTATCCACAAGAGTAAATTGCATGTGAAGGCGGCATAGAATAGACCTTCAACACTGATCGAAAGAATGACGAAACAGACTCCGAAACCCATGAACAGCGATATGATTTTGGAGGTCGGGGTGCTGTGCCGTGCCTTGGAGATGAACGGATAGACCGACGATACAACTGAGAAGCATAAAAATTAGATAAACGTTTGATGACAATTGATCGGCAAGGGTACCAAGTATGATCCATGCTAAGGTCTGGTTAATGATGGGCAATCCCTGTTTCGCTTGTAAACTTTTCACCGAGCTAGCAGTAATTGTCATGGCGAGCAAGATAAAAGACACCTTGAATACGGATTAATCAACTACATAACGCCATATACAATTACCTACCTGGATGATCTCAGATAGCTTCACGGCATTTGGAGCACCGTTCGACGCCAAACGCGCGCAACCTGCACCAACTGCGAGGATCATTGCCCCTCCGCACATGCTACCGCATAGGTGAGTAACATGCACAAATCCATGAGATTATGCGCTCACATCATGTATAAATTCTCTCTCTTGTCGACACTGAGTAGGGGGAATATGCCAGTGGCCAGACAGCTACTCATCCAGGAAAGTAAGAGTCCCGGGTGCTGCGACCGAACATGACTTGGCCACGACGTAAATGGCCATAAAATGCCCATGACCAAGAAGCCAATACTCCAGAGCGACCGGTGAGTGTAGGCAGCCTGAGTCATGCGTAAGTCGAACGAGCTTCATGAAATTAATAAGGGCCGACGCACAACCATGCACTGGAGCACAACCGTCACGATGACCAAGTGGAACAACACTCTGCCTATAAAAGGTCCGGGTCTGTCATTCGACTTGAATTGTTGCATGATGACTGGAACTCCACGCAGCGCAAATTGCTGCCAGAAGTAGCAGGGGAAAGTCACGTAGATATAAAACGTCCATGGAGCTCTCTCCGCAGCAAAGAGTGCCCAAAATGTTGCTAATATAGTCGCAGTAGCAATTTTGACCACGGTACGTTGGCTGACCGAGACCAAGGAAGCTGGCGGGGGCAAAATCGACAACGATGCATAAGCTGACCACCCCGTATATGCTATCATGACGATGACCCTTATAAGTACTCGATTATACCTGCAACCTCTCAGCAGTCGTTTCCAGTGGTAGACGAGCATCTTACGTTTCGAGATACCGGAGACCTTGGAGAGTAACCTTGATGAGTTCAGCTGTCTCTTGACGAGCTTCAAACAATCTTCCATCGCTAATCAGACGCTCTATCTTGGATAACCAGGATACTCTTGAAGGCTTCCCATCTTGACTGACTTCTTCCAAAGGTTCGAAAGCTTTGTATAGAATGGTTTGTACAGCCTTCGATTCTGTCAGGCGACTGGTTATGGACAAAAAGCCGGATGACATATTTAGGGCGCACCGTGTTTCACTCGGTAGTGTTCTAAAATACTCTCTGCATTTGCCAATGCAAGCCGGGCCAAGGCTGACTCTCCCTCTTGCGGTAGCAAGTAGCCAGGTCGCGAAGGGTCTACATCAGGGAGGACTCCCACTGAATTTACCGGATAGTTGATACCAATCAGTGCAGCCATCAGGGGTGCGAGGTCCGCCTGTTCCACGTCTCGTCGCAGAAAGTCGTCTAGTTGCCAGGACCGAGAGTAATCATCGTGTGAAGAAGGTATACTGTCAGGAAGAGGGCCCCTAACGCCCCGCCCCCATGCAACCAGTGGCGTACGTGTGTTGTCTGGGTCTGCAAACCCCTTCAGAATCTCGTTGTTAAAATTGATAAAGCGCAGACCTCACCGCCATCGCCATGGTTGCCAATCTTGGACATACCGTGGTCAGCTGTAAATATGAAGCTCGTCTCTTCATCGTGGTAGAAATTAGAGAAAAGTTCTTCTGTTTGTTGGACGATGCGATCAACGACTTGTATATTGTTCATGTATTCCTGTGATGGGGTGAATTTGATAAAAAAAGCGCACTGATTGAGACGCTCACTTTGGAGTGTGGCCTGTATGAGTGACCAGTGGTATCCAGACCAAGGAGGTGCAGGAAGAACACCACTTTATCAGCGCGCAATTCTGAATCAAGCAAGTCGTTTGATGATGCATTCTGAAACAACGTCTGAAGTTGGTCCAATACCCAAATATCTAAAGCGGTGGCATCTATCCAGTCTGATTTAATAACATGACTGCAGTAGTGCTGAACCTTCATGCCTTTTGTAAAGTCTTCGTCCTCCTCATCGTAGCTCCAAGTGTCAACTTTTCCGGGGGTTGCGCCTTGAGCGAACATTGGCAAGATGTCTGGGGAGCCGAAAGAGAAAGTGTGACTGGATTGATTGAATACAGAGTCAAAGTGAACCTGGGAAAGGAATGAGACATTACTCGCGGTGTCCATTACTACAATACTGACGGGATTCGTTTTCCAACCCTGTCTCGCGAGTCTCGTCAGTATATGATAGCAAGAAGAAGCAAGAGGTTGACTCAGCACCTTGGTCACGGCAGAGACATCCTCATACATACCCCCTTATGTATTTCTTAACTCTGCCCAATATTACTGACGTATCAAACAACAACGTACCAATGATTGCGACATGCCCGGGTCGACTTTCCGTTGGTACTCGGGTGTGCGACAATCCAAATGCCCCTCGTGACTGGACAATATCGCGCAAATAAGGAGCTACGATATTTGGTGAGGAAGGAAGGAAAGAGAACGCGTTCACACTGAATAGAAGGTCTGCGCGTAGACCATCTCCTGATATGAGTTATTGGTTGAGCAGTTGGTGCTGCGGAAGGTGGAAGCTATACTTGCCCACAATGAGAACGACTCGTTTTGCTTCCCCAGAGCCAGCCCTGCGAGGAAGCATGCCATGGACGACTGGGCTAGTGAAGTAGCAGTCAAAAACAGAAGCAATGAACACGACGTGGAAGATGAGTCCCAGTGTTAGCAGCTTGAGAACATTTCTATGGGAGGACACTGTCATTTGTATGCTTAAACAGAAGCTGCCGACCTGCAAGACTTAGACCAAGTATGTAGTATACTCGGGGTCGGGAGTCGGGACTGCAGAGCAAGCGAGCGTGTGAATGGCATGCCCTTTCCAGATGGCCTCTGGTCAATACGTCCTCGTCAACCTTGGAACCAATTGATATCTGCTAGACATGGGCTATACAACATACACATTATTTGGACTCCCGACATTCCTTGTTATCATAGTTGCTTTATATATTCTATTCACTGGTGCGTCAGAAGTTGTTTTCTCTGTTCCGCAGCACTCATACACTTCCCGAACAGATTCTGGAGAAGCATTCAATGTTGGTCGGTTTCTCGAGGAAACTAGCCCGTTCGTCTTTGGTTCGCTCGGGATTGGAATCTGCATAGGCTTGAGTGTTCTCGGAGCAGGATGGTAAGTTTTCACATCTCTACTTTTGTTCTGTAGCATTAACGTCCCTTCAAAGGGGAATCTTTTTGACGGGAGCATCGATACTGGGTGGAGGAGTAAGGACTCCAAGAATCAGTACCAAGAATCTGATCAGGTGCGTTATTTTCCAATATACGCCGTGGACATGAGTTACTGAGCAATGCTCACTGCCAGCATTATCTTCTGCGAGGTGGTTGCAATTTACGGAGTGGTGCGTATTTGTTCCCTCGAGTTCCTGTATTACACTTACCACATAATGGTAGATCATGGGTATCGTGTACTCAGCCAAACTCCAAACCGTGCCTGAAGCGCAGCTCTACACCAGAGACAACTACTTCACTGGTACGCCATTTCCTCTTTACATCATTATTGCATGACACTCATCAACCTACAGGATATGCGCTATTCTTTGGTGGCCTAACCGTCGGATTCTGCAATCTTCTTTGTGGCCTTTGCGTCGGTGTCGCCGGCAGCACCGCTGCGCTCGCTGACGCAGCTGATCCTACACTGTTTGTGAAGGTACTTGTGGTAGAAGTATTCGGAAGCGTACTGGGACTCTTCGGACTGATAGGTGAGTAAAATAATCTGTTTCATTATGCAATGCGCTGACCCCATCGAAGTTGGCCTTCTGATGATTGGGAACGCGAAGGAGTTCATACCAGGACCAGCTGCAGTGTCCGCCATTCGTATATGATTAAAGGCTTGTTATATGCGCGCAAAGCGTATACTCAATATCACCTATGTTAGTCCGCCAAGTCAATGCATCTTCCTCGAGCAGTTGTGGCCGTACGCATCGCTACAGCAGGAAAAGGTACTTTGAGCGAATATATCGCGTATTTTTCATGCTCGTTCTTCTGCGTTATACCCTCCGACATCGATGCGATACTGAATTCGAACAATGGTTACGTCTGCATTTGCCACCAAGCTCCTGGCGACGTATGTGCGACCCCGATGCAAAGCCGGGCCGAACAAAATGCTGAAAACCACAATGATAGTTCGTTGTAAGCTAACCTAAATTTTGTGCAGGTCAACCCCCATGCCAACATCCCCGTGTCTGAAGGCAGGTGAGCACTGATGATGTGATATCGATGCTACTTGCACATACCAATAGAACAGGACGCATAATACGGAGACTACTGTTGCTCATCGGTCCGCAACCTATGGGACAATTACGGGAGGCGTACAACTATCACTCCTGCTTCTTCTCTTTGCTCCCTCATTTACCCACCTAGATGGTTTCTGCTTCCCAGTCAATGCCGCAACACTGCGACTGTGCACAGTAAGTGGATCTTAGGTGAAAGCGCCAAACTCAACACCAACTGAAGCGCAGCGGATACAAAAGGAAAAATGCGGCCACAAGAACGGTGAGGTAACCGCAGCAATACCAGTGTATCTAATTCGGAAGAGTTGGGGAACTGTCAGCGAGCCGTGACCAAGCACTGATGAGCGTGCTAGCAGGGAGGGGCTAAGGTGAGTAGGCTGTGTTGGTTGACGCAGTGAACGAAGCTAAGGCATGCATTGTCTATCAGTCAAAGTATCAAGTTGTGGGATGCCCTCTCGGTTGACCGGCTACTACTACTCGTTACGTACAAGAAATCGAGCTCATTGCACGGTTATGCCGCCGAACAGGCGAGTCTGAGTCATTTGCCCTCTCATTCCTGTTTTGACCTAAAGATGGTGTCGCATGTTGACCAGATCAATCCGGATTAGCAATCATGGTCTATCTTGCTGTGCAGATTGATGCATCACCGTCGCAACAATGCATTGAACTTCGTTAGCGTGTTTTGCATCGGATTACGCTTACCTTGGTATCATAGCCCGATGGCCGAGGCGGAGGGTGAGGAACTGCATATGAGGCGACATATGCTGAGGACAAGGAGGGGGAGGGAGCTAGGCATCGAGGGGTGTTCTTGGAGGCGTTATACATCAGTGTTCACAGTGCGGGTGGGTCAGGTAAGTTATCTCAATGCTTCGTCTGGACCTATTCTATTTTTCATCTGTTCTGGTGTCATGCCGACAGAATGAGACCTTGTTATCAGACACGGGAGGCGCCATTACACTTTCGATGCATAGACCTGTGTTTGATCAGTGACTACATGATTTTGCAGTGAAACAACTCCCCAGTTGCTGCAAGTGTAGCAAGTGTAGCAAGAAATTTGTTGGAAGCAATTCCCCGAGATCACAAACAGATTTTCGAACTTTCCTGGTATTCAAACATGCAGATCATTTGACACTGGTTTGTAGGTTCACAACCAAGAAGCGCCATTGATTCAATCTTCGATCTGATTTCGCACAGGACGCCGGGCTTGAGGCGGAACGATTATTCATCCCCACCATACCGATTTTAGCGATACAAGCAAGCGGTGGGGAGTGGTATATCTAGTACGAATGCATTTGTTTTATGTCCACCACACCCATCCCTCGAATATGACCGTAGTCTCAAATGATCCCAGTTGGTGGCCGCAAATCGATTCGTTCCGTGCTGGTAGTTTTTATATAGGTTCGTGGAGAGTTAGTCATATGATATCGGTGATGGAACTAACCCTGACTGTGGGTTCGCAGTTGCCTCCTTTGCTGTAGTGATGTACGATTGGGGTGAGCATGATAGTATTATAGAACTCGTTGACATCCTTATGGTATTTTCAGCACTAACATTCGGTCAGGAGGTAGGTCAATGCCATCACCGGAGCAGCAATCTCACCCAAAATGATTTTGTAGTTCGAACTGATCTGGGTGAGCAGAGTTCTCTTTCAGAAGAACAGCAAGATAATGCAATCAATTCCGGGCAGAGGCGACGCTGGTCCCTCATGACCATTCTGTACCTCGTTGTTCGTGACTCATATTACAAGCCTCGTCGGACATTTGTACTGACTTCGAATTATTCTAGGTGCGCTATGTTGGAATCCTATATGCTGTGTACGTGTGCAAGGCTAACAAGTTGGCACTGTGCTAATAAGTCGTCTCTCCTTTATAATAAGCTTGAATATGCTGCGTATGCCTCCCTACATTTCACTGCCCTTGGTTCTTCTGACTGACAGCATACAGCAAATCTTCCGTCAGTCTCGGTAACAGATGCGGTGAGTAATCTACATTGATGCCTGCCATTCCCGTCCATTTAAGTGCACTCCTATGCAGGGGTGAGTGATACCTTTGACAAGCTTCAATTGTTTCAATTTGATGACCGCAACAGCTGTGAGTTTTATTGGAGTGTTTCATTCTACGAGGCTTATCCACTCACCTTGTTTTTCAGGCAATATCATGCTCTTGGCAATCAATTGGACGAATGTGGCTATAAATGCCATGATCGGCGGTGAGCTACTCACCAGCAGCGCAATATTCACTTGACTTAAGCATCCTGCCAGTTATAGTGATGACCCGTTTATATGCCATGTATCAACGGTCCAGAAGAATGCTTTTCTGGCTCATTGTAAGCTTCCTGGCTGTCAACATCGGCTGCGGAGTGATCACCGCATCATTTCTCAAGTATATTTCAGGGGGTAAGTTTTAGTCATGAACCAAAGAATCAAGCTCATCAGACGAATATCAGAGGAGCTTGTCTTATCCGGCACCTATCAGTGTAGTTACGACATTGAAGGCAACATCCAACCTCTGAGTGCCATGACTTGGATGCTCAGTACTCTGTGGGAGGTACTCGCGCTGTGTCTTGCAGTCTGGATTGCCGTAAAACACTTGCGTCGCACGCAGCGGCCACCGGCGGGATGGTCCATCAGTAACTATTTCACAGTGTTGATAAATACTCATGTGCTTTACTTTGCAAGGTGAGGTCGTAATTCCAAAGTAGTTCTCTTTGCCGTTGAAGCCTCGTGCTTGCTAGCTTTGCTGCTGTTTATTGCCTCCACCTCGGTGTTCTCTCTCCAATAATTATGGTACGCCAATTTGTGACTAAGTTCTGTATTTAACCACTGGTCATCATTTATATAGGATTCAAATTCCGTTGGAACTCAGACATACGATGGTATCCTTCAAGTCCTCAGGGCAATGCAGATGTTTGTGCTGGGACCACGGCTCATCCTTAGTGTTCGGCAATATCACGCTAAGCTCGTAGCTGACTCCGATGCTGGAATAAGCATGACTTCAATTGTGTTCCAGGCAGGCGTACTGGTCTCAACTGGCAGTACTGTGTAACATGGGAATTGTTTGTGGAGAATCTTGTTTGAAGTTTTGTCATGGCACATTGCTTTTTCGCTGGGCTAAACAGAGCATGCACCGATCATGTCTGCAAAATACAGAGATATTACAAACTCATTTTCCCAAACACGCACATGATATATTCCAGGAGGTAGTATTGGGAGATTGGGGTTGCGACTTCCTTATAATATACCTACCGCAGGTGTGTCTTCGTGAGTTATTGGCCAGTGGCCACACTTCAGAGTGTTTCAAACATTTACTTAATCACACAATATTAATGGCGATGACCTACTGGTAGCCCCGTAATTTGACAGAGGTTTCACATCGACAATAGAACATCACCCTTGTATGATTTCATCTCAAGGTCCAGACACCACAAGCTGGTGATGCCTGGTCAGACATCACACAACATCTTGAATTGAATGTTTCGGAATCTTGTGGCGTATCGTTGGTCAGGTATAGCATTGGCCAGCATATGACGCAGTAGAAAACATTCACTTATGATCTTCAAGGGGTCACAATGGCAATAGGTCAGGATTCGATTGGTCGTGCGTTGGTGGTACTGGGACATGGCAGGCGAAATCAAAAACAGCGAAACCAGGTGAGCAAAATCGTCTCGAAAGAATCATATCTAGTAGAAACATGTAAGCGCAGAAACGGTGTATTCGAGCTAATTGTCATCATAACCGCACGAGATAAATTGACCAAGTTGAGATTGTGGTGAGTATTTATCGTGACGGCGACTCCCCGTGTGTAGTTGGAGCAGAAGTAAGCGCTCGGTCCCCCATGCATGCGATAGAGGCTTTGTTGCTGAATAAAGTCACTCTCGGTTCCTCGCCGTCTGCGTTCCAGCGACTCGATGAGGCCATTTGGACCACGTTCGAAATCTTCTGCGTCAATTGAAATATTCCACTTTCTACGCACGATAGGAGTAGCTACTGGGTATCGAAAAAGCGCTCTGGATGGTACGGCGAGTGCGATGAACGGGATTGACTGTACTGAGTTGAGAAGGGCTTGGGAGTCGGGAGTCAGGACGGACACGGGTGAGACTTGTGCATCAACGGTCGACCGCAATATTTCTAACCATCTTGAAGCTATCTCTGTGGCGGACTAGCGTGGGTATGCCTCATAACAGGACCTTCCTGACTCCAGATATGCCGCGGCGTTGTGAACACTGGGGTCCCTTGACAGTCCTATATAGAGTGGTACAATCAGTGGACCGAAACAAAACAAGTATCCGTATTAGGTTTCCTTGTCACCGATTGTCTAGGAATGGTATTTTATTCACACGATTTGCCAATCAATGGCCCACACAGCACTGCACATCATCGGTCCAAGTAATGGCGAAGGTTCCTTGCAAATATTACCGCTCCCATCAGCTGCTTATAGGCATCAGCTTCCAACCCACATAGGACGGAATAATCGGACACGGTGTGCAGATTCCGGAACACTGGTACTGATAAGAGATACTATGGCTAAATTCTAATTACAGGAGGCCGACTTGTATCGACCTCATTTCCCAAGGGCAAGGCTCATGTGTACGCCTTAAACTCTCAGGGCAAGGACGCCATATATAAACCCTAAAGTTAATTATCTTTTAGACGTTGTCCTTCAGACAGCTGTTGCTCGCTTAGTAGTTGACCTTGCTGGTACGTCCACCTTGCGTCCACTCTATTGTCAGTCTTACGTGACAAAAATTCTACAGCACAAAACTTCACCGGCAAGACCACCACATGACTTCAACAACCTCCAATGCTTCCACCGCGCGCAATGTACCACCCTTTCCTCCCGAACTTTGGCTCAAGATATTTAGCCTTGCCACCGATGTCCCTGGTCTGCTGAGTTGTGATGGCCCAACTCCATCTGATCTACCGCTTTCCCTCGTCAAAGAGCACGAGCACGGACTGTTGAAAGAATCTCTTATCACAAAGAGGAATATTGTCCTTGTCTCCAGGACATGGCACGCTCTCGCCACCGAGTTCCTTTATCGGAGTGTCCTGGTCACTCACCCAGCTACTCTGTCTTCTTTGCTTGCCACCCTCAACAGCAGACCCTCTGGAGCAGCCCTCTCCGCTCATGTAGGGTGGTGGACGAGACGACTTGATGTCTTGATGCAAGATGACCGTTGTGAGGCCACTGATTACGCCCTCCTGGCCAACATCATTCGACGGTTCCCAAACTTGTCGATCGTTAATTTATCCATGCCCATGCTTCCCTATAATGATTGCTGGCTTCGACAGCTACCCCAATCAGTCGTGATGGCGCTAGCTGAATCTTGCGGTCCATCATTGCGCGTATTTGATTGTTCTGAGTCCATTTTGCGCCCCTGCAGGTATTGGCCCAGCCTCTTGCGCATACGGCACTCGCTGATTCTTTTTCAGAGAGGATCTGATGACGCTGATAGCTGCAGCACCAAATTTGAGCGTGCTCCGCTGCCCGATTTGCTCGCCCAGTGCAGGGGACAAGTCTCCATCTGCCAGACTCGATGTGCCCGTCATGACCAAGTTGCAGTCGGTGTCACTCATGTCAGTCTTTTTGCGGGATTACCTGCCAGACGATAGAAACGCCAACCACTTCCCAGCTCTCCGAAAACTCACCTACGACTGCATCCCTCCTCCATTCCTTGACCATACTTGGAAACATTTTGTGAAGCTGAGCTGCGCGAATGTTACTACCGTGCACCTCGACTATTCCCTTCAAGCCGACTCTCTTCAAAAGGAGCTAGATCTCCTCGGCGAATGTTGTTCGTCTTTGAATGACCTCGTGATTTACATCCGTTCATGGACGGAGATCAAACCGAATCTCACCCTCCCTCCTTCCGTTTCATATCTGGGACTACATTCCAAGTTACGCGAGGCACCCGCGTTCCATTTCAAGCAACTATTTGCCGCCCTTCGTACCATATCGGGCTCGAAGCTCAATACTGTTCGATTGTTGCACGCGGACACGGTGGAAGATTTACGGGAGAACCACCGGTCTCTGTTGGAGAGTGAACTCGCTGATAGCGCTTCTTCTATCACCTTCCGCATCGAGGACCACGAGGGTCATCTCCTGTTGGCTTGATACATGGGATCATGGGTACAGCGACACTCATGCGGTTTATATATTGGTGTATTCTCAGGTGAGAATCTCTTCATTCACGCCACATATTGGCTCATTCATGTTCCTAATCTCCAGGGATCTATTTAAACGTATCATGCATTCGGGATCTGTATTCAATACATGTACACTACTGCAAACATCGCCCTTGCATTGCTCCCGGCATCCGCTAGGATCGCCATGATCAGTTATGCATCTGATGGATCCTCAAGACCTCATAGCCTGACTCATCTAAAGGCGTCCTTTCGGTTGCTAACAATAGACGTTGTCTAAGCGCTAGTCAGGTTATTTTACCGTTCAAAGGGTGCTTACTAAGGAACGAGTGCTGCGTCTTCGCTCCCATGATCGTTATCGATTGAACCGATCCTCACTATATCGCCCATAGTGTCCACTACACGCATATAAATGGCTGATGTGTCGGATAAGGTCGGATCTGTGGCTGACCAGATCGTCGATCCTAGCGGATCTGAAGAACCCCCCCCAGACGAGCTGAATGCAGTTGCCAGAGAGAACGCGTTGAAGGTTGAACGTAATCGCAGGCGTGCTGAGAGACGTGCTGATGTCGCGGACTTAGCGGCCGTGTCCGACGACGAGCCGTTGATTGAGGTGACCTCTCGAACTACTTCTCCCGCTCCTGCTCCCCCAGAGACTCCATCTTCCGTTGATCCATCCTCATCTTTGGCCACGCACCCTGCCTTGCAAAACATTGACATCATACGCACAATTTGCTTATACGTTCACGACGGGTCGCTTCCTGCCCTTGCATCTACATGCCGCATCTTTGAGCACCCGGCGCTTGATGTCCTCTGGAGGAATCTGCAGTCCGTGCAGCCTCTTGTCAAATGTCTACCAAGCGACCTGTTTTCCATTGAAAAAGGACATATAGTAGGTGTCCCAGTTTCATATACTCATTCGCGTCTGACTGAGTTCACGTGCGCAGGTATTACTAAAACCGCTCGACACCAAGATGTGGGATATTCTTCACAAATACACATCCCGCGTGCATTCCATCACGCAATCAGGCCGCTTGGCAGTCATCGAGCCCCTCGGTTCGGTAATGCTGTCTTGTCCTTCCGCACCTGCATCCTTGTTTCCGAACCTTCGCAGATTAATATGGCATGATGCTGATGGAACACATTGCGCTGCAGAGTTCTTGCGCATGGCTTTAGTACCCACGTTGGAGTACTTGAAGATACAGATTTCTTCAGCTTCCTCCATCTTTCTGTCAGTTCTTTCGTCTCTTGGGACCTTTTGTCCTAACCTCCAGACAATGATCGTGAACCTGAGTCCATCTGCAATCAATCGTGACGACTTGCTTCAGAAAGCCTCACCCTTCATTTCCCAATCCATTTCCCAGCTCCAGCGTCTCCAGCGATTGTTTGTATGGGACTTAGGAAACCAAGGCATGAAGCACGTTATGCAGCTGCAAGCTCTACAGAGACTGTGGTTGGACTTGAGCGTACCATCAACTTGGGGCAAACGGTCACATTTGCGGTTCCCCGGCTTTCAAAATTTGGATCGTTTGGACCTTTTCATCGACAATCTCGAGCACGCCACGGACTTCTTGAGTTCGCTTCAGGTCATTAGATGCAAAAAAATTACGATCCACTTCGAACTCACCACTGTCAATTCCTCCGCAAGTAAATCTACGACGCCATCCCCGTTCTTCAGTATTCTCGGGAAGATATGCGACCATGACAATCTTGAGTCCTTCGCGATTCCTGAAACTCCGGAAAACATCCACACGAAACCGAGCGTCTTCGCGCCATTGCATAAATGCCGCAATTTGACTCGGCTGCTCATTGAGCACAGCTGGAAAATTTCTATGACCGATCAGGAGCTCTGCCAGCTGGTGAGAGGCTGGCCTAAGCTCCAAGTGCTCAGCTTCAGCAAGTTTGTCACCATCGATGATACCACAATACCTACATTCCACGGGCTGATCAGCCTACTTCAGCTCTGCCCTGCTCTGACTTCTCTCACTCTTGTCGTGGACGCCACCACGCTGGACGGTATAGATTTCAGATCGCCCGGTGGTGGAGCTTGCAGTAGGGATCTCAAAGAGCTCGTCCTCAGCAATTCACCCATTAAATCCCCGCTAAACGTAGCTCTAATCTTTAGCGGCCTCTTCCCCAACCTACAAGAGGTTGATCTTGATTGTTGGGATTCAGCCCCAGCGACTTTGCCGCGCCAGAGCCAGGCAGTGAAGAAACAATGGGAGGAAGTGAACCTCACCCTTTTCAGCTTCAGCGTCGTAAAGGAGCGACGTGTGGAAGTATAATGATGTCGTCCGACTTTTGGACTGGTACGTTTGAATAATTACCTACTCATTTTCAAGCTTTTCTATGCCTGAATTTCATAGCCTGATTCATCAACTACATCTAAAGGGTCTTTTCAGTCACTAACAATAGACGTTGTCTAAGCGCCAACCACATCTAGTCAAGGAATGCTTACTAATGAATAAGTGCTGCGTCTCGCCCTCATGTTCGTTATCGATTGAACGTGCTGCATCTCGCCCTCATGCTCGTTATCGATTGAACCGATCCTCACTATAATTGCGCATACAGTGCCCACTACACGCATATAATGGCTGATATGTCGGATGATGGCAGATCTGTTGCTGACACGATCGACAATCTTAGCGGATCTGAGGAAATCTCCTCAGACGAGTTGAACCCAATCGCCAGAGAGAATGCGTTGAGGGCTGAACGTAATCGCAGGCGTGCTGAGAGACGTACTGATGCCGCAGACTTAGTGGCCGTATCTGACGACGAGCCATTAATGATTGAGGTGCCCTCTCGATCTACTTCTTCCACCCCTTCTCCCCCAGAAACACCGTCTTCTGTTGATCCATCCCCATCTTTGGCCACGCACCCTGCCTTGCAAAACATTGATATCATATGCATAATTTGCTCATATGTACACGATGGATCGCTTCCTGCCCTTGCATCCACATGCCGTATCTTTGAGCGTCCAGCGCTTGATGTCCTTTGGAGGAATCTCGAGTCCGTGGAGCCTCTTATCAAATGTCTACCAAGTGACCTGTTTGGTATCGAGCAAGGACATATGGTAAGTGTCCCGATTTCATATGATCATCCCCGTCTGACTGAGTTCACATGCGCAGGTATTGCTGAAACCTCTCGACGCCAAAATGTGGGGTATTCTTTGCAAATACACATCCCGCGTGCATTCCATCGCACAATAATGCCCCTTGGGGGCTATTGAGCCCCTCGGTTCGCTAATGCTGTCTTGTCCTTCGACACCTGCGTCCATATTTCCGAACCTTCGCAAATTGAGATGGCGTGCTGATGGAACACAATGCGCTGCACAGTTCTTGCGTGTGGCTCTTGTTCCCACGTTGCTGGATTTGGACATAAATATTTCTTCACCTTCCTCCATATGCTTTCTCTCGGTTCTTTCGTCTCTTGGGACCTTGTGTCCTCACCTCCTGATAATACATATGCGGTCTCCATCTGCAACCAACGACTTACTTCATAAAATTTCACCCTTCATTGTACAATCCATTTCCCAGCTCCACCATCTCAAGACATTGCTTGTATGGGACCTAGGAAATCAAGGCAACGAGCAACTTATGCAGCTGCGAGCTCTGCGGAAACTGGGGTTGTACTTGAAATCATCATCAGCTTGGGAACGACGGTCACATTTGCGATTCCCCGGCTTTCACGATTTGTATTCTTTGGTCCTCTTCATCGACAATCTCGAGCACGCCTCGGACTTATTGAGTTCTCTTCAGGTTATCAGAAGCAAACGCATTGAGATTCGCTTCCTCACTAATCATGCCTCCACAAGTCCATCCACAATGCTATCCCACTTCTTCACTATCCTTGGGGAGACATGCGACCACGACAATCTTGAATCCTTCGCTGTTCCTAACTCGCCTGGGAAAATCCACACAAAACCGGATGTCTTCACGCCAATGCATTCATGCTACAATTTAACTCAGCTACTCATCAATAGCAGCTGGAACATTTCTATGGCTGACGAGGAGCTCTGCCAGCTGGTGAGAAGCTGGCCTAAGCTCCAAGTGCTCGAGATCAGCCGCTTTGTCACCATCGATGACACCACGATACCTACATTCCACGGGCTGATCGGCTTACTTCAGCTCTGCCCTGCTCTGACTTCTCTCACTCTTGTCGTGGACACCACCACGCTGGACAGTATAGATCTCAGTTCGCCCGGTGGTGGAGCTTGCAGTAGGAATCTCAAAGAGCTCGTCCTCAGCAATTCGCCCATCGACTCACCGCTGCACGTAGCTCTAATCCTCAGCGGCCTCTTCCCATACCTAAAGCAGGTTGATCTTGATTGTTGGGATTCGGCCCCAGCGACTTTGCCGCGCCAGAGCCAGACAGTGAAGAAACAATGGGAGGAAGTGAACCTTGCCCTTTTCAGCTTCAGCGTTGTAAAGGAGCGACGTGTGGAAGTATCATGATGTCGTCCGACTTACGCTTGAGTAATCACCTACTCACTTTCAAGCCTTTCTATGCTACAATGTACGCAGCATCTACAACACAAACTTATGCCGTAGTGTGCTTGGATATTGAATGCGCTGGCAAGACCAGTTGATTGTTGCTCCCGCATGTTTTGCGATCTCTTTCCCTCGAATGCATCGATATGCAAGCATCACAATAACACATTACTTGCAGGATGTTAGCTTACATATGCAACTTGCTAAAATACAATCGTGCAGATGTCCGAACTTCTATATATGAAGCTCCAAGTGCTCGTATGTAACACAGAAATGACGCCGCACCAGGTCACCAGGACTGCCGGAAACATATTCGTGGATGGGGGGAGTTATATGATGGGAATGCTAGTATGGTGTATGTTGGGTATCACAGCGTGGATATGACCAATGTTCTAGATGAAATGGCGTAAAATATGCGTGCAGATTCGTGGCGGGGTCTTTGATGATGCATGAAGGCTAGATCTTGAGTTCGCGGAACCCGCGCACGTCAAGCCGCCCGGTGCCGTTCTTCTGCCATTCCTCATCGTCCGCCGCTTTAGAAGCTTGCTTGAATTTCCCGCCAGGAATGACGATCTTTCCCGCACTTGTATACGCAGGACGTAGCTTTGGAAGCCCGAGAGCCTTGCGCTGGCGTCGAGTAAGGGGTTTCTGGGATTCGGGAGGCGGTGTATTACATGCGGGAGGGGTACTAGGAAGTGGAGATGAAGCGGCAGATGATGAAGGGCTGGATTCTGCGGAGGAGGCGGGAGTGGAGAGGTCAGGAGTCGAATCATCCACATCATCATCTGCCCTGACTTGACTCGGGGGTGCGTGAGAGGGCGATCGACGTGAGCTTCGCGTTCGTTTGGAGATCGCATCAGATGTTGATGATCCAGATGATTCATCAAAGGATCGCTTAGGTGACCGTTGAGCTCTAACGGTCGATGTAAAAGACTGGTGGGGACCAGTCGGCTGACCAGGAACAGGAAGTAGCGAGTCTGCATCAATGCTCAAGGAATTAGCGGAAGATAGTGGTGAGGGTGAGCGGGATATGGGGAGTGGAATATGTGCAGGCGTTGGTGGTGCATTTTCACGATTCGATCTAATCCTGTCGATTGGACTATTCTTCAGCATAATCTTAGAACCTGATTTGGCTTTGGTACGGGATACAGGTTTCTTCTTGGCAGGCGAAGGGGTAGGCGGGACTGCGTCAGCAGGTAGCTCGCAAACCTCGGGAAGGCCAGCGTGCGGCCCCCTCAAGTTTCGTATTGAAGAAAAATGTTCCCAATCATGATATCTAGAACGACAGGTCAGCGCGCCAACGATAGGTATGCTAGGGGAAATGACTGACGCGACATATATCGTCCCCTCTGACTCCTGTGAATCGTTCATCATCTCGTCGCGCTGCTGTTGCCTCTTTTTCCTACGCGTATCTCGCTCGTTATCTTGAGATGATGACTGTTCATCGCTCTCGGCACCCGCTTTCCACTCAATGACATATACCAATCCAGGCTGGATGACCTTGACATTCCTTCGCGCAAAGTGCGCAAATGCAGAAAGTTCAAGGTGCCCGCCATAAGTGCCTATAGCGCGTCACAACGCTGCACAGGAAAAAAATCGGGAGGGCAAGCCCTGGCACACCTTGTTCTCGCATGCACCGTAAATGGGCGCTTAGTCCACGCTCATCCTCACAAAAGGGTTGATAGCGATGCGCATGGCTCTCGATCCAGTCGCATATATCTTTGCGCAGCTGGAGGTGCTGCGACGGCGAGCCGTAGAATTGATCGCAGAGAGCCCGAAATAGGCAATTGCCATCGCCCACAGTTTGAGCAGCGTAGAGACCCTGCAAGCGAAGTTGCTCCGTAAGAAGCTGGGTATTCTGTTCTGGATCTGTTATAGGCTGTATAGAATATAAGAATCAAATGACGAGACAAAACGTGAGTAGGGTGCATGGTTGACATGCGTGACACTCACTCTGCCCTTGGATCTGGTTGTGCGGGACCGCACTGGAGTTGGCAACATCAACAAATCATGATCAGCTGTTGTTATCAAGATCGACGTACTCGGCAATGGTGCTTTAGCACGTCTCTGAGGTTTCTTCGATGGGGCCATTCTACTTGTAAAAAAATTCAATGAGTTCTGTATGTGGGATCGTGTTGGTTGTGAATAAAGCAGTTTCGGGGTCCCGAGACCCGGGAACCATCTATGGGCTGTGCCAGCACAGCATACTAGTACACGGGTTGTTGCAGCAGGGGCCCGCGGCTTTCTTATCTAGCGAGCACTGCATATTTAAATTGTTGGGACCAGGGTGCTATCCACGTTTGGAATATCTCAGCAGGAACAAAGTACTGTTTCTACAAGGTCTGAGAGACTAAGCAGTCGGAGTTGTGTCTATGTTTCCCAAGGCAAATATACTTGAAATTTGGCTGAGAGATAATCTCCCCCATAGAGCTGCACTGCAAGTGGAAGGCATAAGCCCGCATGTTTAGATCCTATCTCGATACTAGGTTACTGCATGGCAGAAGACTCTGGATGCTGACCTGAGTCCGCTCCTCATCCCAGTGACGCTCGGCTCCCAACCCCACTATCACCACCCGGCGCCGGGAATGTCTTCTCGCCACCACCTCGATCCGACACGAACTCTCGATATCTGGTTTGCCCATGATGAACAACTATCAGCACCTCATAGAATAGAATTACACTCACATCCTCCCCAGCCTTACCTGTTCCTCGCGCGAAACAGATGGCCGTGTAGTTTTGAGCACTTTCAATAGATTTTCTTGGGTAATCTCGTGCTGCAGAAAACACCAGTTATTAATGGAACCTACACGAAAAGAGCAAGAAGACAAACCTGCTTGGGCGTCACAACGGCACTGCTATCTGCCAACATTCCCCCGGATTTCGAAGCCCTGATGTGTTGCAGCTAGAGACATCTCAACCAAAAACACTTGTCGACACGATCACAGTTCCTTACCCGCTGCTGCATCTTCGTCTCGTCTGCCTTGGATGTCGTTTTCGCCGCATCCTTCCCAGCGCCCAGCACCACATATTTTACTGGGACCTCGTCACTCAATCCCACGCCCACCCTCCTCCGGCCCACCTCGACATCACCTCCACCATCACCATCCAGCTTCTCAGCGTCAATAGCAGCATGCACCACCTCCAGATGTGCATTGTACACAAGCGCCTGCAGGTCAGCACCCGAGAAGCCCTCAGTGATATGTGCAAGCTCATCAAAGTCGACGGAGGATGCAAGTGTTAGCTTCCGGGATACCGCAACTAAAATCTAAACAAGTGCATAAGACAAGTTAAGGCCACATTATATGAAGCACGGAGGGCACTAACGTCTTTTCGGCCCTCGATACCAGGCAGATCGCATAGCAAAGATTTGTCCAGCCGTCCGGGACGAAGCAGTGCGGAGTCAATGAGGTCTGGCCGACTTGCGAAAGTTCAACAACCAGGCGATGCGATCAAGGGATATAACCCACCTCGTGGCAGCGAGGACATAGACTCCCTCGAGCCCCTCAGCGCCATCCATCTGGGTTAGCATCTGATTTACCACGCGATCTGTCACGCCCGTGCTGTCATGTCCTCTGCAAACAAACATTCAGCTCCACCACATAAAACACAAAGATAATGAACGAACCTTTTAGGTGCAATCGAATCAAACTCGTCGAAAAAGAGCACGCAGGGTTTGGCAGCCGACGCACGATCGAAGATGTCTCTCACCTATACAGAGTCAGAATTTCCCTGAAAAACATCATGTATACGCACTGATTTTTCACTCTGTCCGATATATTTATTCAATAGCTCGGGGCCCTTGATACTGATGAAATTGAGCCCGCACTCTTTCGCGACAGCTGACGCAAGTAGCGTTTTGCCACAACCAGGATAGCCGTACAGGAGCAGCCTACACGACTTTCATAAATCACAACCTCAACACAAGGCCATAATTGAAGACGCACCCAGATCGCAATCTCAACGGGGACTGTTTAAATAATTGAGCATACTTCGTTGGCCACTCAAGGGTCTCCCTCAGCACGAGTTTAGTATCCTTCAAGCCTGCCCGCCACCAGATCAATGAACCAACGATAGATCTCCTCGAAGAGAAGCACCTACCGCCAATGTCAGCCCATTCTACGTCCGACTTTTGCAAGGGTACATCCCTCAGTGAGAGGGGCACAAAGCCCTCATGTGCCTCTACAAAATCTTTCGCCGAAAGTGTCACCTTCCCAAACTCTTGTCAGCAGTGAAAAAATTACGCATCAGACGATGATACTCACCTTCTCAACATTCACGCCTACTTCCGAAACCGCCCGCCCAACAGCGACCTGTATCGTGCGCTTGACAAGGTCTCGCAGGTCTACCGGGGAGTAACCCTCTGTCCCTACAGCGAGCCGAGTGTACTCCGGTGGGTCCGATTCGTCGACAACAAAGGACAGTGGCTTCTTAGCCATAGAAAGGCGGCGTGACACAAGACTGGCGAGAATCTGTTTCAAGTCGTTTCAGTTCACAAAGTACCAACAAACCTAGAATAACCCTACCTCCTTCCGCGCCTCCCTTCCCGGCGGAGGAATGGATGCGACATCCTTGAACACATGCAGCGTATGCAGAAGCGAATGTACGCTAGTCTGGCTCTCTGCTGTGGCGAGGAGTACGATACCACGGAAGTTGGAAGGTGCGAGGCGTTCATTGGAACTGAAATGCATGAGAAAGAGCTCTGTTATGTGCCGTTGGCGGAAGGAGTCCGCATGTTCGACCTCCGCAGCGCAAACTTTGTCGAGGTTATCGAAAACGAGTACGGAGGGGCTGTGCCATCGTGCTAGAACAAAGAAGTGACGAAAAAGTGCACCAAGGGTTTGAGCGGGCTTGGATGCGAGCTGGGAGAAGTCGATGTAATGTACGGCTGATTGATGCCGTCAAATATGGACAATTTCAAGTGGCAATGAAATAAATGGTTAGGCCGGGAAAGCATTAGAGCATAGAATATTCCACTCACAAGCATACACGCGCTCGTCTGCTTCGAGTCTGCGAGCTATCTCCTTTGCAACTGATGTCTTGCCCATTCCCTGACGGCCTGTGATCAAGATGCCAGGAACTGCGATATACGTGGATACGCAAGAAAGGCATCGAGGAGGCAGAACAACAAGGTTCGAAAGGGCATCAGAATTCGTCAAAACCAAAATTCGATGCACATACCTCCCCGAACGACATCCTTGCGTGCATGTACGGCGTAGTTGGCAACACAAGTCTTTGTCGTGGCTTCGAGGATGTCAGAGACACCCGATAGGGGGATCGATGATTCCGAGGGTATCGCTGGTGAGGATGACGGTGTGGACGTAAGACTAACGAGATCTAATCAGCGTATGCTGCAGCCAAGGGAGTGTACGGGCTTACTCGTCGAGGGTCCCATTTATTGCGGACCCTTCCTCATGGGCGCCCATCAGCGATATCCTACAAAGTCACAATACATTAGCAATTGTGGTAGAACTACACACAGGAAAAGAAGAAGCGTACCGAACGAGATCCCAATCCCCTACCCCACACTTCACTTCCCCAACAAACATCACATGCGTCTCCAAAACACGATCAGAGATTCCCAGCCACACCTCCCATACATCCTTTCCGTTCCCTTCATCATCTTTTGCTCCTACCTCTTTTTTTGATCCCGGGTGCAGTATCTTTGCATTGCCATTCTCCTGCTCTGTTTCAGCACTTGACTTCATGGTGGCGTTATCACCGGTACCGGATTTTATGATATCCGTAGGATCCTTGGGTGGTTCCAATCGACGCGCACGTGCACACCACCAACCTGAGCGTGGAGGGTTGGGATTCGGGTCGAATGGGATGTACGGAGTGCCCGTAAGCAGCGATAGAGTGTAAGGATGAATGTATGCGCGTGTTTTGCCATCGCGTGGAATAATGAATTCGGGGAAATTGACGAGGCGGGCAGGGAGTGCTCGGAGAATTTCCGACGGATATGAGGGTTTGTCCTGCGTCAGAGGAACGGTTCCATGCTCTAATAAGCTTGTTGAAGATGAGGTTTTGGTTTCGGCTTTCGGCTTCCTATGCGATTTGGGGGCAATGCTAACCTCGGTATCGGTTGTGAGCAGCGCTGCAGTTGCAGAAGTGTCGAGCGAGACTTGTTATTGAGGCAAATATTAATACAGTTTACCAATGTGAATGAGACAGTATGAGAGGAACGCACCAATTCTTAGTCGTACTCTCGTCCGCCCGAGTACCCAAACATTGATCTCCTGTCCGACGTTCGCGACTCGCACTTGGGAGAGGAGAGTGCCTTCAACGTGTGCTGCATGAAGTTCCTGGGACAGGCGGAGTTAAGCCAGCCAGGCAGTCAGAGGACAAGACCTACTACTACGTCCCAGTCATCTGCGCTGAGAGGTTCAGTGCTCACTGTCTTCGCATAAGGGAGGTCATATAATAAACCCAGTTCCACCTGCCGATTCAAGTACGCCATCAGCCAGAGGAGTCAACAGCTGTACGCAGGAACAAGAAGCGCACCACATCTCCTTCTTTGAAGCCTAAGCCTGATGCGTACTGTGGATCTATCTCCAGCGTCTCTATTCCACGTTCGCCTGCAGTAGAGTTGAATGAGGCAAGGGAGGATGCAGAGGCCATGCCGGTCCAGCCAACGTAGGCCTCTCTTCCCTCGCCATTGGTGGACTTGAGGTGGACAGCAAGGGTTTGCGGACGCTGCAATCGCAGTTAGAATAATTTGCAATCAAAATCAGAGTCAAGAGTATGCGACGAAGAAGCTGTGCGAGGTTCGAACATACAATCTGTCTCTCGAGAAGGGGGCCGTATATTGATATTGGGAGATTGACCAGCGATGATTTCAGCGACACGAAGTGCACTCTTGCGCGCCGAGGCATTTTGTGGACGACCAACTGAGTATTAAGACACGACGTGTTAACTATGCATGAGCATTGACAAGCATACCGTGTATAACAGACCCAAAGTTGAAAGTAGTACTACTCTACTAGGACAGATCAGCCGGCGGCCCGGCACCTTTACCGTAAAAGTTGGAACGACTTGCACATCGGGGATTCGAATATTTAAGACTGGTTTGAATGTCGTGCGAAATGTCAAGATAATACTTAATATTTAGGTTGTCGTCTTAGCGGATGTAAAATTTCAAATGTTAAAGAGGTCTTGCACGACAAGAGAAATATAAAGTATCAGCGAACACTCTCTTACTGTCTGAATGTCAATGACAATAAGAAATATAAATATATCTTTAATGCTGGCATAAACTTCGAAATGAAACTTCACATTTAAGACTCGAAAAAACTTCAATTTTAGCACGTGACTGAACATCTGCTCATGTATGAAGTTTAGACCGTCGCTTAGACGGGCGTTAAAATTCAAAGTACCCCCTGACAATAAAACGTGAAAATAAATCATCAAGTTTTATCTCCAGATAAAACCGATCGCCCGACGATCGCCCACTCACGGCTGAATCATCGCCCACTTACAACGTCATCGCCCACTTGAGTTTGAGATGTGAAATATATTAGGGGACCAGACGAGCTAGAACTTAGAAAAACGCATTAACACACTCTTATTCAACTGGTACAGACCAACAATAGCATGACGGGGTGGACAGCTTATATATTGTACATGTACACGAATGTAGTAGAGTGAAACCGAAAATCAACCCTGTTTGACAGTAGTCAGACACCGGTGATTTCTCGAGGTGAATGAATGTACTTACAAAATCATTTCAACTTGTATACAGGCTAGTGCTAGTGCCTAGTGCTAATTCTCTGTAAAAGCTGAGCAGGAGATTAGAGACGCACAAGTAACAACCAATTTATTCTTACCACTTGCTTTGGTGGCAAGAAAACTGCAAGACGCCGCGTCGACATTTTTCATCATTTTGTTGGTGCCTGCATTGAATTTGAGTGAGCCTTTCCACTTCGAGCCAGTCATTGGACCGTTCGCATCATCAGTGAATGTATGTCGCTCACGTGAAACACCCCGTCGAATGTTGTCCAGGCGTGACTGGAACCAAAATTCGCATCGACTGGACCAGAACCCCACGTTTAGTCCTGAGGCAGCCCAGGCCTGGGGCCTGGGCCACCAGGAGACGATTTCAACATTCCCGTCGTCTAGATTCAAACATAAGCGCCTCTGTCGATGTAAACAAGAGAAACTTACTGGTATGCAGATAATACGTCCCGCACATGAAATCTACCTCCTCTTCTGACAGCTCATCATCAAAATAAGTCTGGCCATTAATGTCCAGCATGAGGCCAAACGGTACCGCTTCCCGCGAAATGCCATCGAGAACGGAGGGGAGAACATCGAACCCAAGACTATGTAAAGCCAGCCGCCATATGAGGCCACCATGAAGAAGTGCCGCTCTTGCGCGAGGCTGGTTCATGAACTCGTGACGGTGCTGCTCGTACACGATGTAGTCAGCAAAAACAGGCCTAAAACGGGCGAGTCTGCGATCCTCGGGGGGGAAGACGTGTCCGAGCGAGTATGTACGGAGTTCCGTAGGTGGGCGTCGAGCGTCAGGTGGAACTGAGATTGGCTGCAACGTCTTTATAGCGATTCCTTTTTCAAGGAGGTTATACGCGATCTTGGTGATATCCGAGCCCCAGTCACGCCGGAGGCACATCACAGCCGTGATAGCGTCGGGAACCACCAGTTTCCAGGGCACCAGATTTGACGACAGTGACTCGATTATGTAGAGCCGCTGCTTGGGTTGTTGCACATAGGAAACTCGAATGTGTGCATTCGAGACTGACAGGGACGAGTCAGGTCCTAGATCCCAGAGATCGGGCGGGATGTCTGACAACTGAGATTGAGGGAGCGTGACGAGGTAACCTATAAAACATGTGATGACATGCTTCTGTGCGTCTGGAATTGACGTGATATCCGTGGGGTTGTCGCCGACGAGTCTGGTTAAGTGAGTCCACTGTGTCTTGCGAGTCCAATCATCGAATGTAGTCGATCTGCCTCGGGGTGTAGTGGTGGATGCTGCAAGGCGATATCCGAGATGAAAGTGCAAAATGGAGACAAATCGCTCAACACTACGAGTGTACTGCATTGAGGGTGCAACCTCATAATGACCGAAGTAGGCTTCAATGTCTTTCAAGAAACTGGACAAGGGTGGGGCAGGGGCAGGGGGAGCAGGGGTAGGTTCAGAAGGAGCAGACGCAGGCGGGAAATCATCTTCCTCCCAATCGCCATCGGGAACGCTGGTAAGATCCAATGCATCGCACAAATCCCACTCGTTACGGAACGAGTCGTATACCCTGGTAGACTTGCTATACGACATCCAAGTCATTGGTATCTCAGCCTTTGTGAGACGGATGCGTTGACGAAAGCCGCCAAACTCGTCATTAGGTTGCCATTCAAACACCACAACTGTGCTGGATTTGCCAGGAATGCCGTGGTTCATGGCTGCCCGCTCACGGCTCTGACGCGACTGCCGTTGAGCTGGCGTCTCCGTCTCCTCTTTCCTCTTGTTCTCCTGACGGCGCCGCGCAAAGAATGCCTTGAAGTCTTCTCCTCGCTGCTGTCTAGAGTGGGGTTGGGAGACCGGGAACAGAGAGTCCGCATGTGCCTCGGGAACATCAGACACGGGCTGTGCCCCACTGTTCTCACCCCATCCAAGGGCGCTATCGTCCCAGTTAAGGACACTCTGAGTGTTGTCCTCTGGTCGACCCCACGCACTATCGTCCGGTTGACCCCACACACTTTCGTCCAGCTGACCCCAAGTGTCAGGCGTCTCCTTGCGTTGGACTTCCTCGGTCGCACGGGTGATAGCTGCCGGAGACGGGATATAATGATGCAAGGTAAAATCAACGGCAGCAGAAGTATCCCCAGAAACGCGGACCCAAATCGGAAGCGAGAATTTCTCAAACATGGGCAATTGAACTTGCCAAGGACAGTGAATGGAAGAGATCAAGGCTCCCGTACGTGGCACGTTTGTCGTCAGATCTCCAACGAATGAGCGCGACAACTCAAGAACCCATTCAGCGGGTATGGGATGTTGGGGGTTACTCGTTAAGATAGCCGTCCACTGATTGGCACCTTGGTATCGACGCGTCATGATGTACCACGAGCAGGTGGCGGCAATTACTGGAAATCCGTCAGGCAATCATGAACGATGAATAAACTGGTTGACTTACATAGAAATGCATCGCGCGACCTTATTGCAACCTTTTTAGCAAGGTTAGCGTCTGTATGCCACCGTTGGTACCCATAGGAAGTCGGAGGGCGTGGAAGTTTAGTCCCCCATGGAATCAATAATCCAGCACCCAAACGTTCCTGGCACCAGAGCAGTTTCTGCTCTAACTCGACCCATTTTGCCCGAATATCGCGGTGGAGAATGTGCCTTCCCAATGTATCTACCTCTGTAAGGAGGGAAAACCTGGAGTGGTTGAGGCATCCAAAGATTGGCCCATCGAAGCTAGGATTCAAAGGTACCAGGGGAAACCACGGACGAGTTCCGTACGCCCAGCGAGTGGTGAGTGGCGTATTACTATCGTCGGGAGAACTATCGTAGTCTTCGCGAGGATCCCAAGGAGGCTCGTGAGGTATGACGTCGGGAAGGGAGTGTGCAGTGAGAGAGGTATAAACCTGCCCATCACGGACGATGACACGGAGATTGTTACTCATGGATGCGAGGAGACGCAAAGAGTATCACAGTCAAGACTACTACCGCAACAGTACAAACCGTTATGTTAGGTCAAGATCAGAGACGTTGAGTATATCGCAGTCGTTGAGAATATCGCAGTGCAGTCGTTGAGAATATCGCAGTGCAGTCGTTGAGAATATCGCAGTGCAGTCGTTGAGAATATCGCAGTGCAGTCGTTGAGAATATCGCAGTGCAGTCGTTGAGAATATCGCAGACTCAGAGTATCACAGTCAAGACTACTACCACAACAGTACAAACCGTTACGTTAGGTCAGAGACGTTAAGAATATCGCAGTCAAGACTACCGCAACAGTACAAACCGTTACGTTAGATGAGGAAGAAGGTAACGAAATGGGAGAAGGTTTGGTGCGTCTAATATAGACGTAGCGGAGTTTCAACAAACAATTACCATATCAGTGGCAACAATATGGGGTGTGGTCTGTGGCGGTCTGTGGCCTGTGTGGATTGAGACAAGCGGAGGCAAACAAAACAATGCCACTGTGACTTGGGATGAGTGGAGAAAATTAAAAATTAAAATTAACAACAGAATTTTAACTATGTGGCTTGAGATGTGAAGTAAAGAACTTGAGTTAACCTTGGAGTTGGGATGTTGACGATGGTGATGGAGCCAGAGAACGCCGGGCGGCACGACGAGTGAGAATAGGGCTGCCACGGACGTCGAACCAGGAAGCGACGGATGTCGACTTAGAGTTAGGACATTGGCGGTGGGGATGAAAGTAGAGAATACCGGGCACGACCGTACATACAGTCATGCCCTGGAGAAGGTCGTGAAAGGTTGCTGCGACGAGACGATAAAAGAGGAGTTAATGCAGGGCATGACTGTATGTACAGTCATGCCCTGGAAGAAGGTGAGGAAGGGTCGTTTTCGACAAGGAGAATGGGAGCTCGACAGTACAAACCGTCGAACCTAGTAATAGTTATTAATACCAAGTTCCATAAAGATGAGGGACTTAGAACTTTGGCGACGAAAGCGCCCAACAATCACAAACACCCATATTAGGAAATTGTTACATAACATTGACATTGACTGCTTGACAGTTTGAACTTTGTACTCTGCTCATCGTCCCCATCCTTGGAGCATGACAGTATGTACTGTCGTGCTCATCTAGTTCATCCTTTGTACTTTCGAGCTGCTCATCATCCCCATCCTCGAAGCACGACAGTATGTACTGTCGTGCTCATCGAGTTCATCGTTCCTATCTTCGGAGCACGACGGTATGTACTGTCGTGTCTCCTATCCCATTAATCAACCAACAAGTCCAGCCGTCAACACACGTCATCCAACTCGCTTTCGCTTATTGCGACCCCTTGGATCACGTTGGCCCTGTCTTCTACGTCAGGTAACCAAGTCGTTTGTTAAAATCCAACCCCATTGACCAACCATTAAACAATCCAGCCGTTAACATCTGTCATCCCCTCCACCGTACATACAGTGGAGGTGGAATTGACTCAGTCCATCTACCAATGCGGTGGAGGGCATAATGCAAAACCTATGTCTATGTTCAACTAGCGTGCTACATGTACTGGACGAGAGATAGGTCCTTCATCTCTTCATCTCCTTTCGCTGCTTGTGGGTAATCAGTATCGCGCTTGCCCCTATGGTCATCTTTGTCGATCGCTCCGTCCGCTTCTTGAGCTAGCTCCATGATCTTTGCCGCTAATTCCCGGAGCATCATAATGTCATTTTTGACGTATCCTTCGGTCGGCCCTTCCTTATCGTCCTTCTGGATATCTACATACTCGTCAAATATCATGGCAGCTTGGACACGCTGTGAAAAGTCATCGGCCACATTAATCATTGTTGCCGAAGTCATGTACCCATGTACACGGTTCAGTGCGCTATCCTGAAGGTGCGTCAGTTAGATCCCTGCTGACCAACTGGCCCACTTACCAAAAAGCTGTCTCTATAATTTATCAGCAGGAAGACGCTCATAGATAGCAGTGCCAGTAGTCGTGTCAACATAACCAGTATGTGCGACAGGGACCAGTAATCCCCTGAGGGCGCCTTGGATACCTTCGGCACTGCGTAGTCATACGCCCATATCTTGATTGTAGTTTTCCCGCGCCCTAGCACGGGCGAAGTGCTGGCAATTGTGCAGCGGCCATTGAGATCGCGTGCCTAAACCAGGTCAGTGACATTTTTTTCCGACTAGTCTTAATACTTACGGATATTGTTTGCACAAGGCCAGTGTCCGCGTGGTGGAGGGTTTGAAGTGTCTCCCCTGTCTTCCGATCAAATATATATACTAGCCCATGGTCACTTCCTCCCACAACTACCTTGCCGTCTTCCCCGAATGCCACTTGCTTTGGGACCGATACGCTTGGCAAACCAGTTGCAAACGTTCGAACAGGCTCACCATCACCTTCAAGGCGATATAATGTAAACCCGTCTATTGCATTATCAACAACGAACACGCCCCGCTTGGAGTACACCGCAGCATGACCACTATATAATGTCAGTAATGCGCCCAGGTTGAGAGCGGTAGTTTCTCACATCACTGATTTGCAGCTAATTTCTTGCACTATGTCGCCATCTTCATCCTTCAGTTTCATGCTGTTCGGCTCTCAGCATCAGGCAATGAAAGTATGCAGTGGAAGGACTGACAAGTTGCCATCATAGAGCCCGAACACATAGATGCTCCGGTTATCTGCGAACACTACCGACTTGGGCACCGTATTTTCAAGTCGCACTGCGAAGACGGGCTGGAGCTGCGAGCTTGTATTGAGCGTCAGAACCTGAACCATTTTGTCTCTAGTTCCGACTACAATTCGCAGGTTGCCGTCAGAGGAAGTTGAACGCCATGACAAGCATGTGATCTCAAAACCCGATCCCAGTCTCCTGGCACATATTTCCTGGAATTTTTCCTGTTGGTGTCAATGGACGGTCGAACAGCAAACCTAGGCGCTTACATCTGTGAGACTGCGTCGCAAACATACGATATAACCCAGGCCTGTTCCATAGCAGAGGGTTTCTGCCGTGGTTTTCATAGTTGTGGCCCAAATTGCGCAACTGACTGTTCCCCTTGATTCATGATGATTGGACGAAGATGTGAGTTCTTTCCACGATGTGATATCCCAGAGTTTGATTCCCTCGGTTCCTGTTTGTTTGTTTGTTAGCCCTGTCTATGACCGAGTTTCTTCTTTCTTACCACCGCATGCAAGCAGGTGTCCATCATTAGAAATCGCAAGTGCATGGATAGAGCCATTATAGGCAGTTAAACGGGCGAGCAGCTTGTAACGCAGTGGCTGCGCTGACTTGTTGAACAATGCAAGGAAAGACATTATGATATAATCCGCTGTAGTCGCCCGCTCACAACGTATTTATCTGTACTTCTCATTTGTTTTCAAATACTTTTGTATTGTTACCATATTTGTTTGACTCCATGGTAACTTCTAGTCATCGTCGACGCCATTTGTGTGCTATTCTTCTTATTCTTCTCTATGGCCCTATTATTCTTATTATTATTCTTTACAAGCGCTATTCTTGGTTACCATTTTCGAAGCCCCTTATTGTTTTCGCTCAATATGGTAATCTGTTGAATACTTTACTCTCATGAACCGTCCTTAAGTTCCAGGTAGCTACTCTGTTCTTTCTCTATCATGCGCAGTACTACCATTGTTCCACCTTTCTATGACTCGGAGCCTGGTGCTCCACCACCTCTTCCCCCAATGCTCACGGACCAGCTAGAGCTGTTTGGCAACGCCAATCGTCGCCCGACTACACTTATCACCGATGAAATCCTAGTTCCTCAAGCTAGTATCATTTCCACTGCAAGGGCTTCGTCGTCTACACCCGCCCCTGAATTCAAGCTTGCGAAGCAGATGCGCAAGCATTCTGATCACTCTACCTCTCCATACACCAAGAAAGTCACTTCCACGCACTCCCATTCTCGAATGCCTTCACCCTCAGATTCCTCAGGCGCTTCGGATTCTTTCTCAGACAGTGACTCCTCAACTTCGAGCGCGAGTTCATCAGAAGACTCAAAGATTCCTAAACCTGCCGGTGAACCTGGGCGTCCGGGGCGTGGGGGTTACACACTTCGTGAAGCTTTAGATTGGAATCCAAAGGCATACGCAAAATTCAAGGTTTGCAAATTGTCATTGTACCCTTAGTATTGCAAATTAACTCGTGAATTCCTAAGAGGTCTATGCATAGTCTCATCGACAACCACCTTGACACGACAAAATGCGCTTCTGGCCAAAGTCCTGCGCTATTGGAAGTCGTGCGTGGCAAGGTGAACAGTTTCTCTGAGTCTCGATATTGTCAATGAACTAATCATCTCTGACAGGCGCTCGACAACTTCCCAGACCTTGACAATTATAACAACTTGTGGCCAGTCAACGATTTGATCATGACACGCCTGAAATACACGTCTGGACGCGCGAGACGAAAGGTGGGAGAAATGGCTGTAGGCAAGAGCAAGTGCAAGGCCAGGAAGTGATACCCCGACTGCATTAGATGTCTCCGTCATTATTACGTGCTGTATGCATTCTATATCAAGCTGGCGTTCAAAGATTAGTAGCCACGAGTTTTACGCGCATCAGGGAGAGCGAAACTACATCATGCAAGTCGTCTGCGAAGCTACCCAGAACCCGTCAGTATCAGTTTCAAGCCGGTGCTTTCGAATGTTCAGTCAAGACGCGCATCAGGGAGAGCGAAACTACATCATGCAAGTCATCTGCGAAGCTACCCAGAACCCGTCAGTATCAGTTCAAGCCGGTGCTTTCGAATGTTTAGTCAAGATCATTGTGGCACTGTACTACGACAATATGGCTTTCTATATGGAACGGATCTTGTTTGGCATATATCTGCAGTCCAGCTGAGAAACTCGGTATGTAACAATGCTTTAAATTATACTACTACTCCACACCTTGCAGCTAACCGACAATTGGTACGAGTACTCAGGGGTTTCACAAGAGTAAGATCGCGTGGGAGCCTAGCTCTTGGACGACTACTTATGCTTTGCGCAAAGCTGAAAAGATAGTTATGGTAGGCTCAATAGATTATCGAGTTTACTCACTGGTGAATTATAAAGTCAGCAAGCGCATTATCTCTGCCTCGCATGTTCACAACTGAGGGATAGTTGACTCCAACCCTCATAACCACTGCATCGCCTCGGAACTTATGATCACCCGTACTAAGAAGCACGTTGGCTCGGAGACGAAGATGTCGCTTGAAGAAGATGCAGAATCGATGGATGTGTCTCCCTTCGCACACATTCACGAAACAGTTGTGAACATAAGGCTGCACGGTAGCCTCCTCGAGAAGACTTTCAGGAACAGGAAAACGCTGAGCAGTGCGTGAGCGGCCAGAGCAACGCGTCAACATGGTGACCTGACGGGGTCTGGTCCACGATGCTGAATATAGCCTGCACCGCAGGTGAAGCTCCGGGGTCTGATTTGAAGGTAAATAAAGGGTGTGAGGTAGTAAGCGATAACTTACAGCAGACGTTGGAAGGATATATGTGCGAGTGTTTACCATCTGATTATAGTTTGATCAAGGCAATAATCTAAGAGGTGGGCGATGAATGCGGGCGATGAAAGCGGGCGATGGAAGCAGGCTATAGCAGCGATCCGTCTTTTAATAACTTCACGTGCTGAGTCAAAAGACAATAACCATAATCGTTTCGGATGTAGTTGACGAAAAAAATAGCGGGGAGCCAAACCGAAGCATGACAATACTGCAATGATAATCCTGCGGCGCTAGTTGTCAAGGGTGATGGTACGAGGTAATTGTAAGAGCGAATAGAGCAAGATAATTGTAAGTGCGAATAGAGCAAAAGACAACTGAAAGCGATGGAGATGGGCCTGGACCTGTTGGAACTGTTGTTCATTCATACAACCAAGACGTCTAAAAGAATCAAGACAAAAATACATGCACAAAACTTAAAAAGACCCACGAATGATGTTTGCAAACTGACGATGAATTATTCCCCCGCTATGAGCGCCAATAACATTGACGTCGACATGCAGCATCCCGAGTTTCAGCAAGAAGACGTACAAACGTCTCATGACGCGGATTTATTTGGTGGCGATGAAGACGATGAAGACGATGATAAGGGTCCTGGCGACTTCATGGATGTTCTCAGTCAGCCTCCCACCAGTGTACCGCAATTCGACATCAGTCAGCCTCCCACCAGTGTACCGCGACTCGACATCAGTCAGCCTCCCACTAGTGTACCGCAATTCGACATCAGTCAGCCTCCCACCAGTGTACCGCGACTCGAGCGACTCGAAAAGAGGGCCAGAGAGGAAGTGGTATGTAGATAGTACGAATCAGCTTCCATGACTCATGATACCCATCCAGATATCTGGGAAGCGTCGCATTCAGGAAGTCGACTATTCGCAGGTACTTCGCCAGACTGTGTATGAACAACAAGAACGTATTAACAACATTATAGAGGAAACTGAAGTGGTACGCACGAGAAGCTCATTGGGGATACACTGCTGATCATACCGGCAGATACGCCGAGAAGCTCAAGACCACATTGAGGAGCAACGACGTCTTGCAGAAGAAGAGCATGAGCGCCACACGCGCGATTTCAACGAGCGATGGGAAAAGGCTCTGAGAGAGCGAGAGCGGGAAAAGCAAGTAAGTGCAACAGATGCATTCAGTCAGATGCATGCTTACAAGTTAATAGGAAATTCACATATGGCAAGAGCAGCAGCAAGCACTGCTGAGGAAGAACGTTGCTGAAGAACTAGCACGGCACGAAGCAAAAATAAGTGCAAAAAAAGACCAAGAGGTGAGAAAGAACGACTGACCAAGGAATTACTAATGATGGCAAGTAGTTGGCTGAAGAACTGGCACGACACAACGCAGATTTAGATACAAGAAAAAATCAAGAGGTGGGGAAGAACGACTGAGCACGGGAATCGCTAATGATGTCAAGCAGCTAGAAGAACGCGAGAGAGCCATTTTTTGCCGAAATGGAGCGAAGGCTACAACTAGAAATAGAAAAAATGAGGGTAGAAAAAGAGAACGAGCTCGCTAACATGGAGCAGCGCTTTGCAAGACACGGTAGGCAACAGCATGCGGCCACGGAAATCGGCACAGACCCCACCCAAAGGAACGCTCAACAGCCACCCCACACGCCCCAGAAACCACAGCTCAAGACTCCGTGCCTCGAGACGATTAAAAAGATCAGGAAGGCACGTGGAACAACACACAAGATGCGTCTGGTATCTGTAGTAGAGGTAAGTACTAAGCAGTCGGAACTCGTTTTAAACTCACGTCATAGCAGGACGCTGACGAGCCTATGGAAACGCATCGAGAACGATCATCGACAATTGAGCAAGAGCCACAGCGATTTCAGCCTGACGACGTCTACCCTATGTCTGCGATGGAAAATGCGATCTCCAAAGGCATAGAGGCGGCACTCAGACGCATCCTCGTCGATAAGGATATTTTGACATCCAGAAGCATAGTCCTCGAAGGAAAAAAAGCAGGATGATGAAATTAGGATAGAAAGGGCCGCAGATTTGAGCCACGAAAGAGACTTCCTTCTTGTGAGAGTTGAATTTTTGACGTATATGCTGATG